AATACCACAGACCAAGCCCACGTCTTTAACACATGACTGCATGACACCTATCTATAAGACAGCAAAAAGAGAGCGCCCTTCCTCACAGACACTAAAAATATAGAAATGATGGCACATTTAGAAAGCCACCAGCTTTGCAAGGGCGACATTTGTTTTGGCCAAGGATCATCAATTTAAGCTGTCAACAGAAAGGTCATCCTTCTTATTCTGAGTTTGAGCTAGATAAGCCAGGGCTGTGCAAACAAGGGTGGGGGTGGGGGAAACAGCTAAGCACAACCCACAGTTGTCACTGCTTACAAAGGGGCCATTGCCTCCCATGGAGACGCCTGGTATTTTCTTCCCATCATTGTGAAGAACCAGACAGAAGCAACTTGTAGGAGAGAGGATTGACTTAGCTGGTGTTTTCCCTGAGTTTAACTCCTGCTCTGCTGCTTCAGAGCTTGTGGTAGGGCAGGCAGCGGGGGAGCAAAGAGACAGAGAGGGCCAGGCTCCCGATGGTCCAGCTTCCTTCCACAGGTCCCATCTGCCACGCGGTTCACCGCCTCCCAGCATCTCCTTAGGCCCCAAGTCAGGCTTTCAGAACATGGACTGTTAGAGGACAGGAGATAAACTACAGTACAGATCAAAAAAGAAATGGAAGGTTGAATAAGAGAGAACACTCTAGACCAGTGGTTCCCAACCCTCCAACACAGTACCTCGTGTTGTGGTGACTCCAACCATAAAATTATTCTGTTGCTATCTCATAACTGTGATTTTGCTACGGTTATGAATCATAATGTAAATATCTGATATGCAGGGTAGCTGATATGTGATGTGAAAGGGCCATTCAATCCTTCCCAAGGGGGAGAGGGGTCAAAACCCACAGGTTGAGAGCCACTGCTTTAGACAACAAGACTGAGAGACAGAGCTGGTATTCAGGAAGGTAGACGCAGGTGGGCATAGCCAAAGAGACTCTGTGAGCAGGCGGAGTCTCCCCCCCCCACCCCCCCGTGGTTGCCTGTGTCCCCATCTCCACCATGTCCTTTGTTTTAAAATTCACAAGAAAAAGTAATTTTTTCTCCCATAAGAAGCTGGGGACTTGATATAATAACGAACAATAATAAGTCTACTGTCTGCTTCTTCAGTTTGGGATTTGCCCAAGCACAGTCTAGCACTTCTGGGAAGTGGTCATGAATATTTCATGTGTAAATTGCAGTCTTGACAAGGGCTTCAGCTCTAGCCCTAAAAATGTCCGTACTGGACACTTGCTTATCCTAGAACCCACTCAGAGGATATTATCGAGTGGGACTAGGGGGGAGGTAAGTCAGAGCTAGCTGCTGCCATGGTCTGGGAGTTGAAACTCCATCATGTGCACAAGCGGCATTGGGCAATAATGATGGGCAACATTCCCTTTGATTAGGTAATTCCACTGAGGCAACTCAAGGCCTTCAGTGAGATGGTGTAGGACACAATAGACTGAGCACTGAAGCAGAGCAGGGGCCACAGCAAGCCCGTGAGAGCTGCTGGAGGATACCCCAGAGACTGAGTCACGTGGGAAATGCCAAGTCTGAGCTGTCCCAGCCAGTGTGATGTAAGCAAAGGGGGGCATGGGAGTGGCCACATCCCTCAGTGGTACAGCTAAAAAGTAGGAAATGGCATACCCAGTGTTTAGATGGTCTGGGTTTATTCTCTGGACTTGTCTCAACTGCCTATGCATTGTAATTGTTGGACCCTACTAATGTAAACGAGCCAGCTCTCAAGCCTTGTGGCGTGCAAAGTGTCTTTACTCCGGGTCCTAAAACTTTGGCCATGTGCCTCACAGTGAGAAGCCGGTGGTGCCCCAGGAGACAGCACAGAAGAGTCTGGTTTCAGAATGAGGTTTGGAAACTGCCAGCACTATTCTGAGAGAGCACATGTGCACTGAAGCATCAGCCAGTGGTGACTGGATGTGACTAGGGGGACCCTCCCCTTCTCTTCCCTGCTGTTTCCCCACAGCAACCTGGGCTCTGTTTGTCTCTCATTTTATGCACGGAACATTGTAAGTATTGGCCAAGATGGTGTGTGAGGTTCAGGACCGCCGTCCTCAGTTAACTCATCCCAGCTCGAGGTGTGGAAGGCACAGGGTGCTTGGCTGCCCCAGACAACTTCCCCTCACAGGCCTGAGCCCCAGGCAGCCCTCGGCAAGGAGGGGACTCAACCCAGGCATTCCACCAACCCCAAGCTTGCCCTGTTCTCCTACAAAATGTCCCTGGCAATGAATGGGCTCTCCCTGCCACTCCCTTAGCCCAGCTGTGGTTTTGCTACTATTCATTAACATTAGCTATGAAAACTTCCATGTAAGGCTGGGGTTCCCTCAAACTTCACCCTTTTGTCCTGTCTTGTCATATATCACCTTCCCAGGCACATCATTCTGGGAAAACAGCACCAGTGTGTGTGTGTGTACATGTGTGTATGTATGTGCATGCATGTATATGTTCACAGGTATATGTGTGCACAACATGTGTGTGTATGTACATGTTATATGTGCATGTGTATATGTGTGTGTTGTTGTGCATGTGTATGTGTTATATGCATACATATATGTATGTATATGTGTGCATGTGTGTGTACATCCTACTGTCAGTGTCCTGTTCCTCCACTTCTCCTCTAAGAGGCCTGCCCAGCCCAGGCTCTCCCACTCCCACCGCAGCTGTTGCCTTTTCTTTGGCCTGGCTATGCAGTCATCCTCCAGTGGATGGGCAGCTGCATTGTGTTAAGCCCATTGCCATTAATGAACTTTCAGTGATGGACTTCCGGGTTTCAGGGGTCAGTTCTGGGTAGATTGTCCCCTAGAATGGCTCTGGGCAGTCACAAGCTCCAGCAGAAGGATGCTCATATTTCCTTAAATCACCTGCAGCCTGCCTCTGGATCATACTCAAAGGTTTGACCCTGATGGATGACATGAGTTTGTCATTGTTTAGTTCCCTCCCTCCTACCCTCCTTCCCTCCTTCTCCCTCTTTCTCTGTTTCCCTCTTTCCCTCTCTTCTTCCTCCCTTCTGTCCTGGAGTTTGAACTTAGGGCCTTGTGACTGTTAAGCACCACTACCCCAGATCCTAAACTGGATTTGTCTCCCCCACCCACACTCTCCAGGTCTCACTGCGTAGCCCAGGCTGGCCTGGAGCTCATGACCTCCTACTTTAGCCTCTTGAACACTGGGATCAAGGTATGTGTTATCATGTATTTCAGAGCTGAGGATGAACGGGGGTGGGGTGGGGTGGGGTGGGACGGGGTGGGTGGGGTTGTCCATCCTTACTTGACCACTGAGCCACACAGCAGCTCTCCTCTAGCTGTGTAACTGTGTAATTCCTGAGCTGTGTAACATATTACTGTTATATGCTAACCATGCTTAGCCTGCTATACAGAACTACAGAACTACCTAGCTGAAGCTGGGACCTTCTGACCAATTTGTCCCTGTCCTCTTGTCCTTCACCCTCAACCGCCTCTGATGACTTGGTTTTCTCTCCAGCTGTAAGATCTACATGCTCTGTATTCTGTACAGGAATGAGAACACATGGCTTTGTCTTTCCATGACTGACTTCTTTTTCTTTCTATTTAAATAATTTCAATTTTTATGTGTAGGGGTGTCTTGCCTGCATATGTGTCTGTGCATCACATGTGTATCTGGGGTCCATGGAGGCCAGAAGAGGACATTAGATCCACTGGAACTGGAGTTACAGATAGTTGTGAGCTATCATGTAGGTCCTGGGAGTTGAACCCAGATCCTCTGAAGAGCAGTCAGTGCTATTAACTATTGGGCCTTCACTCTAGGCCATGACTTCATTTTCTTTTCCTCTCTCTCTCTCTCTCTCTCTCTCTCTCAGCAATGTTTCTCTGTGTAGCCCAGGCTGTCCTGGAACTCACTCCGTAGACCTCAAACTCAGAGATCTGCCTGCCTCTGCCTCTCAAGCACTGGATTACAGGTGTGCACCACCACATTCAGCCTGACTTTTTTTTTTTTTTTTTAACATGAGGGTCTCCAGTTCCATTCATGTTGATTGATGCAAATAGCAGAATTTTGTTCTCTTTTGAGAATGAATAGAACCCTGTTGTTGACACATACCATGGTTCTTATCCACTCATCCACTGATGACATGCAGATTAACTCCATATCTGGGCTACTGTAAACACTACTGCAATGAACTTTGGAGTGGAACTGTTGGACTTTCTATCTCTTCAGGATTCTGAAGACCTGGGAATATGCAGAAATGACCTTAAAGCATGGGATAACCATGGCTGTAGCATTGACTTTTCCATGTTGCTTACTGGAGAATTCATTATGTGCTGAGAACTCGCTGTAAGAAGGGGCCTGTGGTGGTCAGGAGTGTGGAGCACACCTAAAATCCCAACACTCTACAATCTGTGCCAGGAGAATTTTGAGTTCAAGTTAGCCCTGGGCAACTTAGTGACGCCTGTCTCAGAAGAACCGAAAACCAGACGAACAACAATCAAGTGACTGTGAACTCCTGTCATTCTCACAGTGACTCAAAGGCCCACCTTTCTGATGAGAACATGAGGTACAGGTTACTGTCTATGTAAGTCCCTGCCAGGGCCTTGAACCCTGAAGCAAAGTCCAGATTTGCAGGATCTGCGGAGAACATAGGCACCTAATGGCCTGGGTAGTCACAGATGGCTTCCTGGGAGAGGCGATACTTCAGTGGAGAATTGAAGAAGGACAACAGGTATTGACCAGGTAGTAACACATAATGAGGTGGTCCAAGAGGACGGAGGGAGGGAAAGCTGTCTGGGGAGGTCAAGAGCTGTTTGGACAGCCTAGAGAGTGGGCAGTGGACAGGAATCAGGGTGGGTCAGGGAGGAGCTAGAAGTAACCAAACCCTGTGGTCTCACAGCCAGGTCAAGCTAAGCCCCCAGTGTTGAGCCAAGAGGGACAGGTTACCCACCTGTACTCCTTGAACTGAGGCGCAGGCGCAGGTCAGCAGGGTGGCTTATTTACATGCCCAGGTCGAGGGGAAAACCCAGGAAGTGTGGCCGAGGCCTAACAAAATCTCAGACTAATAATAAACGCCCTGAGTAATGAGTGGTGTGGGCCAAGGCAGGCAGGAGGCTGGAGCCAGTGGCACAGGAGCGTGGTGAGTAGCCAGCTGTGGTGGGTAAGGGCCAAAAAGATGCTCTAGGGGCTGGGAATTCAGCAATATCAATACAGGCACAAGCCAGGGCTACGAAGCCTTGGGACAACCCCAGGCCTGACCATGGGAGAGGTCTCCAGGTTCATGTCTTGCCGGCCAGGGTTATGGGGGTTGGCCAAACATGTGGGGACCTTCTTTTTGTATCTACATGCTTCAGTTTTTCTCCTCATGCCCCTGGATGATTTTTAAGTGAATTGGGTAGATTTTAGGTGCCTCAGGATTCAGCATTTAGAACTCTGTCCCTGCTTGAGTGTCACAAGTTTCTAAGAACTCTTAAGGAACACCTAAGAACACAGGTGTTCAGCATGAAGTACCTATGGTGTCCTAGGTAGCTAAGTTCGGCCCAGGTCCTTCACGGCCCACAGGACAAATTGGGTTCCATGTTTTGACCTCTCTCTGTCCCCTTCTCCTTCTTTCCTTGTTGACGACTGTTGATAAATCAGGGCTGTTTACACGTAGTGCCGAGGAGGTTTTGGGGGTTTCCTCTAAGGTTCCCCATCAGGACTCACTGCTGACAGCAGCTCCACCTATCCCCCACCAATACACACACACACACACACACACACACACACACACACACACACACACACACACACACAGACTTGCCTCAGGCAGGCCCTTGCTAGAATTTTCGTCTCTGTCTAGCAACCAAGTCCACCAACGGTGCCAATACATAAGTTTCTCAGGGAATACCATGGGTCAGTGACCGGGCCACCTTCACCCAAGAGGAAATATCAAAGGACCTGGGACCAGGAGTTAGAGCTCAGATAGAATGTGCTGGGACCTATAGCAGCTTCTTGGTGCTGCGGTGAGGGTTGAGACAGGAGAAGAGTTCAAGTTAGCACTGTGCATACACTTACCCTTGGCCTCGGATGAGCCACTTCTCTTCACCTACAAAATGACACAAACCTGCTTCCAACCCTTCCGAACCTTGTGAAGAGTCCAAAGGCTCCAAAGTTAAAAATAACAAAAATCCTTTGACTTAAATAATATTTTAATATTTCTTATATTTGTACCACCATGAAATAGGTATATATTCTTTCTGCTCATAGTTCCTCTATAACAATAAAAACTCAAACAGTTACACATGAAACTAAAAATAGAAAACCATTGGCCAGGTGTAGTAGCACACACTTTTAATCCCAGCACTCGGGATGCAGAGGCAAGTGGGTCTCTGTGAGTTTGAGGCCAGCTTGTTCTGCAAAGTGAGTTTCAGGACAGGCAGGATTACATAGTGAGATCCTGTTTCAAAAAAAAAAAATTATAAATAATGATGATGATATGCAATAATGAAAATAAGCACTTCAATATATTTCACATAACAGTTTTGTTTTGCTCAAATAGGAAAAAATGTCTTGTATGAAAATGAAATAAACCATGAGTATTTGGTTAATAGCAAAAAGCTGTAGTTTGGCCTTCGTTGAGAAGACACCTCCTCGATGCCTCAGCCACCGTCATCCTTGGGGGTCTTCTGTCCATCCTAGGGACTGGCTGGTACTTCTGGGCTCTACATGGATCTGGTTGTGGATAAGAAAGAAGGATGAGCACAGCTCCTTCTGATCAATCAGCCAGCACTTGCCCTTTCTTCAACCAGCATCTCCCCATCGGACCCAGTGTCTGTGGTGGCTCCAGACCTCCAGTGTGTCATGGAGCCTCTCAACTGGCCTGTGCATCTAACTCTCTCCTCAGGGAGGCCAGTAACTCCACTTAAAGCAAATGATTTTGTATCACAATTGTGCAGCCATCACCTAATCTAATTTTAGGATGTTCTCGATACCTCAAAAGAAACCCTGTCAATCTTCATTTCCCCCACCTCCAGCCTCAGCCTCCAGGCAATCTATCTCCCATCTCTAGAGGTTGGCTTCTTTCTTGGGATATTTTATACCAGCAGCGTCACTCGGTGTGTGCTGTAACTTCCTATTAAGTCTTACTTCACAAGTCACCCATGTTGTAGCATGACCAATATTTTGTGTTCATAGCTGGCCATTCATCAGCTGGCCAGCATTTGGGTGGTTGCTCCTCTCTGCAGACTGAGGACAGTGCTTTTGTGAAAATGTTTATATTTTGGGTGGATCCATTCTTTTGAATAGTCAGCTGTCTAGATTTGGAATTGCTGGCTCTCACAGTGACTCAGTTGGATGTTTCATTGTTGGTTTTTGTTTTTTTTTTTTTTTTTGTTTTTTTTTTTTGTTTTCCAGACAGGGATTCTCTGTGTAACTTTGGAGCCTGTCCTGGAACTCACTCTCTAGACCAGACTGGCCTCGAACTCACAGAGATCCACCTGCCTCTGCCTCCTGAATGCTGGGACTAAACTCAGCCTGGTTTCAGCTGAATGCTTTAAATAACTGCCAAGCCACTTGACAAAGTGACCGTATTACTGTCTAATCCTATTTAATGCACAGGATCGTCACTGTGTGTCCCTGTCCCCTATCCTTTCTGTGTAGCAGTCCTAGCAGGGAACATGGCTGCTCGCTGGTTCTGTTTGTCTTTCTCCAGTGCTGAGCTGGGCACCTTTTCCCGAACTTGTTGCACATTCACGTGTATTTTTGGGGAAATGACTATTCAGTTCTTTAGTCCATTTTCTAAAGTTTTTAAGGCATACCATTAGCCTGTGACCAATTTTGAGTTATTTTTAATGGTATTGGTTAAGTACTTAAGGTCATTCTTTTGCATGTGTCTATCCAGCTTTCCATTCAAGATTGATTGCTGTAACATCTTAAACATATAGCATCCTAATTTGAATGATGTCCACTATTCATTGAAAAGACTGGGTTTTGCCCCATTGAATGCTCATGATACTCCTGTAAAGAAGGCTCACACATGCAAAGACTTGTTTGTGTTTCCCTTCTGGCTGCACTGGCTGGACCCCTGTCTACATGGGCACCACGTAACCAGGAAGTGTGAGTTCTCCAGCTTTGTCCTTCTTAAGATTATTTTGACTGCTCAGCTCCTTGTAATTCCATTTTTAGGGTTTCTGTTTATGTTTTTAAACGGTTGTTAGGATTTTGCTATAAGTTACATGATTGGTAGATTGTTTGGGGCCATATTGACTTCTTAAGTCTTCCAGTCTACGAACATAGCATCTTTTGATTTATTTAGGTAATTTCTTTCCACAATATTCTTTAGTTTTGGCATATACTTTTCACCTCATTGGTTAAATTTACTAAGTATTTTATTTCTTTGTGTCATTATAAGCTAAATTGTTCCTTAATTTCCTTTAGTATTTTTCTTTGCAAGTCTATGAAAAGTCAACAGCTTTTGATTGTTATTTCCCCCCCCCCTTGTAACTATGTTCTGTTTTATCAGCTCTAGTACTTTTGTAGTCCTTTTTACTATAGGATCATGTCATCTGTGGACAGAGGTGGGCTTACCTTTTCTCATTCCAATTTGGGTAACTTTATTCAGTATTATCATTATTATTTTGCCTAAGTGCTAGGGTTAGGGCAGGCCTTTAACCTAATTTCACCTGTATCCAGCAACCATGTCCACAGATACATATTCACCAAGGATATCAACACATAAAGTTTCTCAGAGAAGTGGATGAGGCATTGACCAGAGGCTACCTTGACCCAAAAGAAAATGCCACAGGATCCAGAACAGGGAGTTGGAAAGCAGCCAGAGTGTGTGGTTGACCAGTGCCATGTGGAGAAGAGGATGAGGGGTACAGTCCTGCCTCATTCCTGATCTTACCTAAAACTTTCTGGGTTTCCCCATAAGCATGTTACTAACTGTAAAATCTTTTGCCTATGGCCTTTCTTGTGCGAAAGGGTTGTTTTTAACCCTCATTTATTACATCTTGTGTTTTCTTGGTTTTGTTTTGTTTTATCAGAAAAGGTGTTGTTTTGTCAAATACCTTTCTGCATCCATTGGGATGAATGTGGTTTCCTTAGTTCCTTCAGTGTTGTACATGGAACTGATAGCTTTTTGTAGAACTGAGTACTTGCAATCTAGGGACAATCCACTTTGATTGTGGTAACTAACACGCTGCTTGTTGGATGTGCTGACATTTTGTTGAGGTCCTTGCACCTGTATTCATGGACATATCTGGGGTTTTCTTTTCTTTTAATGTCACTTTGGGGCTTGGCATAAGATGCATTCTGTCTGTCAGTGATTGTAAATTTGTATCTGCTCTATGAACACTATTTGCATGAAGTGTCTTGCTCTATGCTTTTACTTTAGATCTTCTGTGTTCTTTGATCTAAGTACTGGGGTTGGGGCATGGCTAAGGGGGGGAGACTGCCTAGCTCTGTTAACTGGGCTCCATCGGAAACACCACCACAAACAAAAACAAATCTTCTATAAATAGCATATAGATGAATCTTGTGGGTTTTTGCAAATCTGTCTGCCCATTTCTGCCTTCAAATACAAGAGTTCAGACTGTTTATATTTAATGTTTTTCTGATAAAGATTTATTTGTGCTGTTTATATACTGCTCCGATGTTATTTGTTTTGGGCATGAATGTGTATATGTGTGTGGGTTCGGTGCCTTGAAGAGTGAGTGGAGGTCAGAAGACATCCTGTGGGAGCCAATGTTCTCCTTCTACTGTATGGGTTCAGATGACTGAACTCATGTGGTCAGGACTGGTAGTAGGCACCTTTAACCACTGAGTCATGGCTCTGCCCCATCTCTTTTCTGCAGATTTTAATTTTATTTTTTCAGTGATTATCTTACGGATTACAATTAACAAATCGATCCTGTGATATCTTACTTTGAATATCTACTTAGTTTCATTAACATGCAAAACTCTGTTCCTAAAAATCTCTGTCCATCTCTTTTTTGTGCTGTTACATATTTTCTCTTTGAACACTGAATGACTATTACCATAGGTTTTAAATATTTGTTTTATGTAGTGTCTATTAAATTATGTAGAGAAATAGGAGTGTCAACTCATAACAAGTGTGCAGTAATTCTTGCTTTTATAAAAGTTTATGGATGCTGGCCTGGTAGTGCAGGCCCATGATCCAAGTACCCGAGAAACTGAGGTAGCAAGATCACAAGTTCAAGGCCCTCTCTTGGCTAGATAGGGGGTTCAGGGCCAACCTGGTCCAATTTAACAAGGTCTTGTCTCAAAGTAAAATGAAGGAAAGAGTTGAGGATGTCACTCACTGGGACATGTGCTGCTTAGGTGCAGGCTGGAGGAGGAGATGGGGGAAGGCCCATAATCAGGAGGCAGCTTCTCCTTACTCCCTGTGCCGGGAAGGACCTAGCAATGTCCCTGGGCCTGCCAACCTCAAGTGCTGCTACCACCCTCTGCTGCTGTCATTATCCCTGCCTCTGAGGACTTCCGACAGAGCTACAAGGCTGCCTGACTAAGACAGGAAAGTCAGCTTTCTTTCATTGAAGGGTAAACAGACACTTTGAAAAGTACTTCAGGAGAAGCTGTGGCCAAAACAAATGACACAGAGTCAGAGTGCAGCGTCATAGCGGCAAAGCAGACGGCTGCGTGCAGTTCTGGGGAGAGAAGGATCACGTGTGTAACACACCAGACAGCATCTTCAGCCCACAGTGACAAGTCAGAATGTTTGCTCTTCTCCTGGATGCAGCAAGTGTGCTGGACCTTGATATGAGCCGGGCCTCGGTGTGAGCTGGGCCTCGGTGTGAGCCATAATACAAAGCACCATTGTGATGTTTCATGTGTCAGTGAACAGGAAAAGAGGAAGAACTCTACACTGAGTGCCCCCTGTAGGCTTGGCACTGAGGGCTGCTTGTAAAAACTTTGTTCATTTAGTGGGCACCAACTAAATCCTGAGGACTCAACACTGGAGAGAAGGTTAGGACCGGGCCTTGCCAAATGATGCCCGGGGTGAATCTTAACAATGGTGGGAAGCAGCCACTCGTGAATGCCAAGGCTACAGAGAGAAGCAAGGAGGGGTTCATGGTAGCTGGAGACAGTAGGGTCCTTCTGAGGTCCGTGCTCTGATGCCAAGAAAGGAGAAGGGTCACGTGAGGCAAGAAGCACCCACACAAAGCAGCCCGCAACCACCTATAACTCCAGTTCTAGATGATCCAGCGCCCTCTCCTCGGCACCACAGACACCAGGCACACATACATGCACACACATAAAATTAAAATGAATAAATCTTAAAAAAAAAAAAGATCCCTTACTCATTCTGCATGAAGGCCTCCACACAGACCACTAAGCAGACAGTGGTAGGTACCTAGGCACACGCCTGCAAACGTGCAGACCAGCACACAGGCCTCATAGGCATGCAGGCACACAGGCAGACATACACAGACAAGCTGGCAAAGGTGAAGGCTAATGCCCTTGCCTCTGACCTCAAAGCCATATTTATACAGAGTCACACAAAATGGCATTCTGTCAAGGACAGTAAGAGAAGAGATGGCATTGTTGTTTGCTTTTGGGTTCCCCAGATGTCCATTGTCAGCCATTTTGTGCTGACTCATAGACCCCTAACATTAGCCATCTCAGCCCATGCTGGATATCTTCATCAGTGCCAGATTGTTTAAACATAAATTGGTCCTCATGGCCCTCTGTTTCCCACAGTTCCCCGGGAGTAAAGATTTAGATGGCTGTCAAGGATGATGGAGAAATAAGCAGAGATTATGGAGAGGAGACCTGGTACACGTGGAGGACAATGTGGGGACAGACAGGATGTAACTCTACTAGGCAGGGATCCTCAGAGAAACTATGCCACAAATGGGAAATGGTAAAAAGTGAAGAATCACCCCAGATCGCAGCTGAGGCTGGAAGCCAGCTTTGTCTGGCTGTGCTTGGCCTGCTGAGCAGAGACCATCTCAGAATGCGGCAGGAGAGGCCACCTGGGCTCCATTTGGTTATCTGCTCTCCTAACGCTCCATCTCTCCTTCCACAGAACTGGTGGTCAGGGTGACTATGGCATCCTGCCCCAAGGAGCAGTACTGGGACTCCTTGACAAAATCCTGTGTCTCCTGTGTGTCCTGCAGCCAGAGGAGCCAGCGCAGCTGTACAGACTTCTGCAGTGAGTTCTCAAGTCTGAGCCAGTCCCTCGCCTGCCCCAGAACCTCTCTGTCCCGTCTGCAGCCAGGTGGAGGAGCAGAGAGGGATGAGACGTACCGCATGGTCTTTTACCCTTAGCCTTCCAGCTGCTTGTACATGTCCATTTTTTCCTGCCCCATGCCCTTGGAAATTGCCTACTCCTCTGCCTGGAAGGCATTTCCCTAGTCTTCCCCTAGCTTCCTTTCATTCAGCCTTCAGTGCCTCTTATGGATATCCTGGAGGACTTCTCTATTAATCCTCATCCTGTGACCCTTCTGCTCAGCATCAGTACCTATGTAGGCTGCCATGGTTCCCGTTTGTATTACCAATATATCACCATGGATTTTTCCAGCTCCCTCCCCAGCTCTTCAAGGAGGATTCTGGCAATTTCTCTCCTATTCCTTCCACTAACTTGCAGTGCATTTCTCCTCCAAGAGATCTGAAAATGCAAATAAACAATTTATATGACAATGTAATAATATAGACTTTAATTTTAAAAGATACATAGAGGGGGCTAGAGAGATGGTTCAGCGGTTAAAAGCATTCGCTAATTTGCAGAGGACCCAGTCCTGTTCCTAGCACCTGCATGGTGTCTCCCAACCATCCCTAGGGATCTTATGCTCCCTTCTGAACTCCACGAGCACCAGGTGTGCATGTGATGCAATACATACTTTAAGCAAAGCACTCGTGCACATAAAATAAAAGAAATAAATCTAGAAAAATTTAAATATGTGTAGAAAACCACCATGTTTTGAAATAAAGAAGTATGAAGAATTCTTTTTGGGGGGGGGGGTCAAAGAAGAAATAACAACAACAACAAACAGAAACATCCTGAACTAGGTACAGGAAGGAGCGTATAAATACAGATATAAATATCAGAATGTAAGTCAACAGCTAGAGAGCATCCAGAGGGCACGACTGGAATTGCTGTTCTCACACTGAACTGTACAGGGTTGGTTTGTTTTTGTTTCTTTGCTTTGACACAGTTTATCGTCGGACTCCAAGCTCCTGTAAGTCTGGAACACCCAGTCGCATTGTTCTTTGTGTCTCACAGAGTTCCTCAGTTGCCGCAGAGAGCAAGGCAAGTACTACGACCATCTCTTGGGGGTCTGTGTCAGCTGTGACTCTACCTGCACACAGCACCCTCAGCAGTGTGCACACTTCTGTGAGAAAAAGGCCCGAAGCCAGGTGAAGCTCCAGCCCGAGCTCAGGGGACCACAGGCGGAGGAGGTGGACGCCAGGCCAGGCAACTCAGGAAGGTACCAGGGAGCAGAGCATGGAGTCTTGCAGGCAGCTTCAGGTGAGTGCCTACAGCAGCTGAGGATTGGGATGGATGGGAGGCCAGGCAGCACACTGCAGGAACAAGCGTCTTTGTTTCAAGAGGCCCAGACTCTAGGCAAATAGCCAAAAGCCAGGGAGGTCACTCCAGGGGAGAAAAGCCATTTAGATGACAATTTCAGAAGTGGGACATTTTGACAAGCACTCATGGTGTATACTGCTCAAATCTGATGACTCAAACACTGAACCTAGTCTTTGTGAAAATAATCCAAATCCATTTAAATTTCCCCTTGATACTGTGCATGCCCGGGTGTGGACCCCATCCTCATGGTGCTAGTCAATTGGTGACTGCTGAGCCATGCACACTTCCCTCTAGCTTCCGATACCCTATGCACTGGCAGCCTCCCAGGGTTGTCCCTTTCTGCATAACCTCTCTGAGCTTCTCATGGTGTGGGATCAAACCGAGCCCAGCCAAGAACAGAGTTGAAGAGAGTGATTCCACAGGTGCTGGTGGAGGTGGCAAACTTTTTTGGTAAACGAAAGAATTAAACAATCAGAGGGAAATGAAAGAATGAAAACTTAGATTGACCTTGATGACGAAAGTTGACATTTATTGGTTCGAGAGGTGGCGCCCCCAAGACCCAGAGGCACAGCATTTGAACTTACAGAGAGGAATGCAAATTATGTGGTTTGGGGGGTGGGATAGTTAAGGGAACAGAAGGAAGAGGGGAGGGTCTTGTCAGGGGCAGATGAGGAAGTGAACTGCTTTTCTACATGAGCTGTTTCTCAGAATGGCAGGATGAAAGACAGGTCAGTTGCTTTTCTCTGACTCTCCAGGGGATTAGCCGCTTTCTGGAAATTCCATGGTGGCAGATTTCCTGGGACCTTCTGCTTGCTTAGGGCATCGGTTTTTCAAGAGGGGCAATGGGGGAAATTTCCTTTAATCCCAGACCCTTTACACACAAGGGATGGGGTGCCATTTTCTATCTGCCTACTCTCTGATGGGGGAGTATCATCTTGGGGTTCTCAAGTCTGGAGTGACTAGAAAAGGCATTGTCTTTACTTCATCTTGTGTGGTGGACCAGGGGAAGGCAATGATGCAGTCTAGGAGAAAAAGTTGAAAAGACAGGCTAAATTCTAAGTATGAGGATGTTAAGGAGGAAAAGGGTGGGAGGGGAGGAGCCAGGACCAGCAGGAACCAGGAGCCCACCCAGAGGAGGCTTGTTCCTGAGTTTTCTGTGCCTGGTCCTGCATCCGTTTTGATCTGTCGATGTATTGTAACATCGTTTCTGGAGGAGGACCTGAAGGGTGTGGAGCTGATCTGGAATTGTAGGCTGTCTGTGAGCTGTTGAAACAGGGAGGTTGATTGATGGATGTTAGAACCCCCTATTCCTGATGTCCTCCTTTATTGTCCTGGAAGAAAGCCCAGAGTGGCAAGAAGAGGGATGAGTTGGATGGCTCATTGTGCTCTTGTTGATGTCGGTGTAGAGCTAGGGGCCAGAGCTTAATGCGGGACAAAGGGAATGGTGGAGACAAAAGGCTTAGAGTACAGGTTCCAGTCCAGCACACATAGATGCTTGTCCTACAACCCCAAAAGAGCCATGCTTTATAGGAAAGACAGGGAATGGTGTCAAAAATGGTTATCTGGTGTAGCATTCCCTCTGCAGGGTGTCCCAGGGACACACCAGTGAAAGGCTTTAGGCTGACTAGGAATGACAGGCTTATTTAATTAATTAGTTAGTTCATTTTGAACTAGGCAAAGGTGTTGGTGTTGAGGGAACACTGGTAAGGTAAGGGGGTTCCAGGAGCCCAGAGACCACCACCGGGTTAGGTTTGAATGGGGATGATGGGTGATTAAGGATTTGAAAGGATTTTCCTAGAGTAGGGGAGGCAGGTTTTCCTCCTGTCCCCAGTGTTAGGAACCAGAGGAGGATTCAGACAGATGGAAAGCCGTGGATAGTGCCAGGAGAGCTGTCCGTAAGGAAGCTGTTCAGATGACAGTCCCGATTCAGACAGTCTTGTGGAACAAGGGTGGTGACGTGAGGTTTCACTGGTGAGATTGGAGGGAATTGAAAGATGAGAGGTACAATCCATGTAGGAAATCCCTCCTTACTGTTACAAGGGTCCTCCCAGTAGTGAAGTAAAAGCCAGTCTGGGAGTGGGGCTCTATTAGAAGTTAGAGACTAATGCAGACACCCAAAAATGAGGCACAGAGGCAAAACCCTCTACAAATAGAGGGGACTTGGGACCCCCCCCCAAATCCAGTCTCTCCTCAAGAACTAGGTTTTGATTTTTAAATCTTTAGAGTCTTTTCCTCTTAATTTAGGGTGTTCAGTTTCGTTCCTTGTTGGTTTTTGTTTTGTTTTTGCTTTGCTTTCTGTTTTTGCTTTGTTTTTGAGGCAGTATGCACACTGCTGTCCTAGAACTTGCTGTAGACAGGCACACTTTCAAACTTGAAGAGATCTACCTGCTTCTGCTTCCTGAGTGCTGGGGTTGAAGGTGTGTGCTTATGACCAGCAAGGGTTGACTAGCACAGATTTGAACAAGGACAGGATTGGCTCATACTGTGGCCTCCTAATCTGGCTTTGAACTCATCTCATAGGGCCAGTCCATTAGCAGGGGCCCCACTAAGAAAAAACCATCAAGCCTTTGTTTTAAGCAGCAGTTTTTTTTTTTTTTTTTTTTTTTTTTTTTTTTGCCTCAGGTAAGGAAGAAGCTGGCCATCTTGGAGGTTTACCATTAACCATGGTCCCTCCCTCCCCCTATCTGTCTGCCCCCAGGGGGTCTGTCTAACTCTTTTCCCACATTCTCCCTTCTCAGCCATCACCTTAACTGCTTAGGGACTTGGAGGCACAGACTGCTCTAACTGCTTATGGGCTGGCAAAAGGGTGGGAAGCATTTAGAGCCCCTCAGAGGAGGATCCATCAAAGGGTCCCTAACAACTGATGGCAAAGGTCTGGAACATCAGTCGAATGATGACAGTGTGCATCTTTGGAGTGAGCTATGAGAGCAACAGAAACAGAGCATCTGTGACTCGAAAAGTGAGACTGTTATGCGTGCACTGCAATTCTCCCTGAGAGTGTATTAAAATAGTTGGGTAGTTTTGCCCTCACTAGAGGAAGCGGACAGGCCAAAGAACACTTGGCAGGCTCTGTCACAGGGACCAGTGAGATTGATGACTGCTTTGTTACCATCATGTACATACATGGAGGAGACTATGTTTTAAGTTCAGAGGTTGGCCATTGGGTTTCCTCTATTACAACTTTGTGAGGAATGTCAACAGGCAAAGTTAATGAGGAAAATGCCTCAACATCACAATTAATGTATTCTTTGTCTGGTAATCATGTAGCTGGCTGGATCTGTACCAAAGCCCTGCAAAAGGATACAGTCTCTATAGAATAAGCTGTTTGTTACATCAGACTCCTGTTTGTATAAGGAGTGAATGCCTGGAAACTAAGGGAACCCAGTTAAAGTCAGCATCTAACTAACAACTTAAAAGAGAAATAGAATCTCATAGGTCTTTTCATATACATACATACATACATACATACATGAATATATATGTTTTTCCAGTAATGTCTCATGGATACTACATGAGTATCCCGAATCATTTCTCCAAACCTGTCATTGCAAGGTACAAAATGTCCAGCACAGGCCAGTCAGTCCTAGAGATGGAGGGCAGATGAATGTCACTGGGGGCCAGGTGAGAGAAAACCGGGAGACAGGAAGTTTTTCACTGGAGATATAGTCTTAAATTAGGGGGTGAAGATGGTTGTGCAACTTCATGTTAAAAAAATTCAAAATTCACTAAGTGGTGAATGTGATGGTTTACAAATTACATCCTGGTTTTAAAAACAAAAGTAATGACCCACCCCCTTTGTCTTCCATCTCCACCCCAATCAGAGAACAGAATTAAGGAAAGTCCAATTCAAAAAGCACCTGGCACCAGAGTGAGCTGAGCTATTGCCGTGCTATTATGCTGTATCAGTCTGAAAACACCCCAAGCTCTTAATAAACTAATAAAGGAAAAACTGAATAATAGTGTGTGACTAGATCTGGCTAATCCAAAAAAGGGAACCAGTCCTGAACAGATGTCCCCTTAGCTCATGGCCCCAAGTTACACTTTGAGCAATTGTCCATTGTTCTGCAGAGACAGACTCCAAGTGGTGGTTGTTTGGACAGATGTGAAGTATTGTCATAGTTATCCTAGGCAAACCAGCCCTGCTTTTCCCAGGCAGTTGTTACCTGGGGTCCTGATTACAGGCACAGGGATGTGTGAGCACTGTCAGCCAGGGTTGACCTCTAAACTGCCTGACAGAGGCCGTGCTCCATTGTTAAACTTTACTTTTGTGCAGCTTAGTGTTTTCTCAGCAAGTTTACTGATAAATCCTTTATCCCCTAAGCTTATTACTGCCATGTCCTCCTTCAGGGAGTGGTCCCTCCACTCACTAGCACAAAGTGTGCCCCAGTCCCTGCATTGCAGGACACAGGATAAGTTTGGGAGGAACAGTGCCAGGAGCAGAGTTTTGGCCTGAGTTGTTAAGTCTCCTATGCCCCAGTTCCTGGAGTCCTTCTGCTTCACACCTGGGCCCAGACTTCTCAGTCATCTCCCTGGTCCTGATTTCAAGTCCAAGCTCACTCTGATGCTAGGAGGAGTCATCCTCCTTGGACTGCATCCTTGTATACCAACATGCACACATCCATCCCTGGGCTTGTCTACCTCCAAAGCATGTGGAGAAGACAGGATGGGGCAGGTCCAGGGGGTCCAGGTTTAAGATGTTGGAAAAATGTGCCATCAGTTTGGGGTGGAAGGGGCCAATTCCCCCAGTACTCAGGAAGCATAGCAGTGATGTTTTGGGGCCAGAAAGGGAACTCCTATCCTCACCAGCAAGGTAGGCCTGGGGATGACCATGTAGATTGCTTGGGTCTAATGCGGTAAAAAGGAAGCCCATGGTAGGGAGGGCACTTAGTCCTGGAATGAGGAAGGGTATGGGTAGCTACAGGCCTAAATATAACACCTTTGCAAGAAGGGAAAACTGGGGGGGGGGGGTGCCACGTGAACTCATGTTCTTGTCTGTCTTGAAGCATCCACAGGACTGAGGCTGAGCACCGACCAGCTGGCCCTCATCTACTGCACACTGGGGCTCTGCCTCTGTGTCATCTTATGCTGTTTCTTGGTGGCCTTGGCCTGCTTCCTCCGGCGTAGAGAGGCACTTCCTAGCCAGTGTTCAGGGACGCATGGGTCACAGGCCAAGACTCCCCAGCGTAAGTATGGAAAGCCAGGCTCCCTTCCCAGACAAGCACCCATAGTCTTCTTCCCTTCCCTATCCACCACTACCCCTACTTCCTGGTGGGAAGGACATCCTGAAGCATCTCAGAGAAAGATTCAAGCAGCAGGCCAGGATAAGGGGTGGGTGTCAGGTTGCTGGCTTCGGTTTTCACAGAAGATCCAGATGGAGGGTCACCTAGGGGCGGGGGGCTAGGTGGTTTCAGGGTTCAGGGAGAAGTGAGCCCAGTCTTGACAGACTGCATGCAAGAGGACGAATCCTGGGGTGGCCAGTGGCTGTAGAAGCGCTGGGCTCCTGGATCAGGAATCATGGTGTGGCCCTCGGTGCCCACGGCACCCTTTTCCATCTCCTCAGGCCCTGAGATGGAAGCTCGCAGCGAGGTGGCCTTGCCACCCCAGCCTGTCGAGACGTGTAGCTTCTGCTTCCCAGAGCGCAGGTCGCCCACACAGGAGAGCTCTCGTACACTGGGGATTCTCGGCTTTGCGGGCACCGCTGCCCCGCAGCCCTGTGGGCGCGCATCAGTTGGCGGCCTGGGAGTTGGGCGTGTGCCCATCGGGGACGCGGGTCCCGGAGCTTGACAGCCAGAGAAGGAGACAATGAAGAGGATGGAGTGCAAGAGGAGGTGAGGGATGGAGAAGAGACGGGAAGACGACATGAGAGAGGCAGCCTGGCTGCACCCATCCACAATAAAGCAACCACCCACAGCGCCCCCATTCCCCAGAGCCACCTGTGCCATTGTGTCCCATACTCGAGGCAGAGCAGTCAACCTGTGCGCTCCTCTTTTGTGGAGAGAGATGGAGAATGGTCACCTGGAGCAATGTTCTCATAGTTCTTACAAACAAGCGCTCTTCCCTAGAGCCTTAGGCAGATAGTTGAATGTAGTGTGTGTTTGTGAATTAAGTAATTTGTATGTGTGTGTCATACCTGTGTATGCGGATTGTGTGTCTGTACAAATCGTGTGTGTATGTGCACCGTGTGTATGTGTGTGAATTTGGTGCATGCAGGAATGTGTTTTCATGTGTGTTCGGCCAATGCAATGTAGCCAGGAAGGTGAGGGCCTCCAGGTGAAGGCCAAAAGTTTAAAAACATGATGAGTGTTTCCTGCACCTCAACATGAGTATGTTCAAATTGCATCCATTTTTAATGAGCACCTATACTTAACCTTTTAGTTACATTTAAACCTCCAGATGCACAAAAATATCCTCGGAAGCATTTTCCCAGCAAGCTTAAGTGTGAAATTGTACACACTGAAATTTCATCCTTCCTACACCAGTACTTGGCAGACCCACCCACCCCAAAAGCTACATAAGTGCCCCTGTTCTCACCATTCATAGCTAGTAGACTGCACAGAGATAAGGTTGCTATTCACAATATAACACTGATGACAGCTCTGGTAACACAGAGTGGCTATCCACAGAGTTTGGAAGCCTGCAGTCAAGGTGTGCAGAATTGGCTCTTCCTGAGGCTGCAATGCCTGAGGCTGTACATGCCTGAGGTTATACATGCCAGGTCTGTTGTTGACTTCTCCTTACCCTGTTAGTGGTCCTTCTGACATTCTACATTCTATGTCTCCCCATGCCCCACCCCGGGGTTCATTCTCCCTTTCAGATTTCATGTTATAACCCACCTAATTGTTTTTACTTCTCTGTAAAACTCCATCTTCAAGTAAGGCCACATTTGAAGCACTAAGGGTTAGGATTTCAACATAATGTGTTGTGTTTCACGGCAGAGACCCTATGAAACCACCACTGCTTTACCTTGTTTGACAAGTTGGCATCTAACAAGCTCTTGTTCAAGATATGTCTCATCAAGTACTGGGCCAGTCTACATCATTACAGTGCTCACCATGATCAACGCCCTACAATATGGTTGCTATGAAGGCCCTGGCCACTGCTACAGGCCTATGCTGGCTGTGGGCTGAGGAACATACAAGCACATGCTCAGCTTGTCTAGGAAACAAACTTATTTCTAGACTTTAAGATCTGTGGTTTTAAAATTCTGCTTATCCAAACCCTAGGGGCTGTGAATGCAAGATGTTTCTGGAACTGGAGGTGGGGGAGGAGAGGTGCCAAGATACAGGGTGCTGAGAGCCCAGCCTCAGCATCGTTTAAAGACAATCTCGACAGTGCTCAGCTTATCAGTGGATCCCGTGTAAATTTTCTTACTTTCTCTTTGTAAAGAAAGGGCTCTGTTGCCACTTTTATCTGTTGTGTTGGGTCAGCCTGCAGAATATAACCTGATTCCACATGTATTGCCCCTTAAAAACTCTTTATTAGTATATGTTAATTGAATAAAACTGATTTTGCTGCAGCTTTTACAAACCTGTACACAATGTGCTTTGGTAGTTCCCCCTCCCCCCCACCATAATTCTCTCATTTCCTTCCACTGGTCTCTTCTCAACCCAATGTCTTTTAAAAATATCTAGACTCCATAAATGTGAGAAAACTTGGCATTTGCTTTGCTTAATCGTATTTTCCTTAACACAACCATTTTCTTGAAGATAAAATTTTATTCTTCATTCACAGTTGTCTTCATTTCTGATTTTCTTACCTGGATTTCGGGGCCAGCCTCCCTCAGCCTCTTTGATGATATCTTTCTTCCTACCATTGATCAATGTTTCTGTAATGGACCAGGTGTGGCCAGACAGGGATGTACACCATGTGGTTTTCCTGTGGTGCATTGTAGAGTAAAAAGGGCCAGTGAAAGACTAGCCTGGCCCCGAGACCAGGGCCAAGGAAACACACCCTATCCCTAACAAACTCAGGGCTTGAAATCCAATCAATCTCCAAGCTTGAGGACTTGAGGTCCTACCAATCCCCACCCTGAAAATCTTTACACTGGAAAGCTCTGCTTCTAAGAAACCCTACATAAACTGAGTGTGGTGGCGCATGCCTTTAGTCCCAGCACTCAGGAGGCAGAGGCTGGCCGATCAAGGGCAGCTTGGTCTACAAAGTGAGTTCCAGGACAGCCGGAGCTGTTACACAGAGAAACCCTGTCTTGAAAACAGAACCCCTCTATAAGGCCTGTGCCTGTTGAGTTTGCAGCTGCCTTTTCCCACCCTTGCAGAGGCAGCCACTTTCCTGGACTCCTCCCTTCCAATACATCTCGAGTGAGGCTTGCTGTGCAGTGTGACTTTGTGTTATTCGCTGGCTCCCAACTCTGGCGGAGCTGAGTAGAGCAAAGGTGTAACAACCTCACTGGGGAAACCCTCCCTTGCTGGACCAGAGTTGTTACACTTACATTAGGGAAAACTTTCCCAGGCAAAGAATTGTAACACTTCTGTGATACCTTTCCCTCCAGAGCTGTAACACACGTACAGCAAGTGTTCATCTTTCCCTGGCTGCAGATCCCTGGCCTTGTCCTCTATAATACATATCTTTGTCTTATTGCCCCCCCCCCCGGGGGTCTGCATGTGATGCTTAAGGGTTTCTTGTTTTGGTTAATTTATTCTGCCCTTTTAGGATTATGTTATTATTATTGGTTTGATGTTTCTCTCTCCTATATCTTTAAGTTCTGAGGCCCCACTGTCTTTGTGGCTCACTTTGGATCATTCTCACCATACCTCAAATTCTGTTTCTTTCATCACCTGCTGAGATTTCTCTTCAGGGCATCTAGGACAGACACTTGGTCTCCTACCACAGCTGCCTCTAATGTTTCTTCTTGATTCTTCCTGATACAATCTCTCTGCTACAATCCCCACCTACTCCCACATGCTGTCTGCTTCTGTCCAGTTGTCTGTCTCTTGGCCGTTTTTTTTTTTTTTTTCATTTGCTCTGACTGAATGCCAGGTATGTACTTCATTTCTCCAAGAGGTGGAGCAGATCTAGTTATGAATTGAGGTGGGTCTGGGTTGTCGGCCTGTTTACACTTGGAGCCCTGATGGCTTCATGTTCCCTTAGAGCTGCTGGCTCTTGATGGCAACTGAGTTCAGTATGTCCTTGTTCTGCCTCAGCTTTCCTCTTGGGGCTCTGCCACATTGGAGGGTGGTGGGGCCACATGGAGGGTGGTGGGCACTTCCTAGGTTTCAGGTGATGATTGTCATCAGAATGGGACGAGACTATCTACTGCCTTGCTGCTCTCTCAGGCTGAGGCAGTTCAGGCGCTCTCAGACCCAGAAGGCTTCACTTTGGCAGCTCTTCCCCAACAGGGGTAACCCTTCCATGCATTGAGATAGCCTCTGCTACTCAAACACAGCAGAGGATACTTCCTTTCCCCTCCCTCCAACCCCAGTGACTCTTAGCCTGAACCTAAGGCCAATTGGTTTGCTCCTGGAGCTTTGTGCATTTTCTGCCTGCTACGGGGGCTGCTCTCTCTGTGCCCAGCATGTTAAAGGTGGTATCTGAAGAACCTGTGGTGGGTGTGAGTTCCCTTTGTGTTTGGATGAGGTTGCCCCTCCCCACAAGGCTTTAGTGACCAGAGAGGCATCATGAGGATGCAAATGTGGTCTGACTGGTGTGCAGAGCCCAGAGGTGGTCATTTAGGTGATGCCAGAGTAGAGCCTAACGACTAAATCCTGGTGGCTTTATACAAGTTAATATTTCAGGTGGAAAAAGTGGCTTGTTCCCTGACCTCAGGAGGGAGCAGGGTCCTTTCTGTAGACTGATCTAGGCTGGTGCTTCAAGCTCAATATGGTTAAAATGGACCCCCCACACCTTCCTGGTTCATGGTCTTTTATGCCTGGACTAACCCAAGGACCTGGAATTCAGGGACCAAAGACATACTCCCTTGTTGCAGGGGGACTGCCTGTTTAAGCTCACAGTTGAGCCTCTCAGGAACTAATTGCCTTTAGTGAATGAAGGAAGCCCCCTATCTTAGGCCAAGCCTCCTTTCTGGGGACATCTTATCCTTCACCCAGGGCTGGGCCAAGCCAGGGTATGCAGTTGCAGCTGTGGTTCATGCAGTAAGATCCTGTTCCAGAGCCCAAGAAGCTGGGTGCAGTCATCCTCCTACATGTGACTCAGTTGGACTGGAGAGCTAATGATGGGCTATCAGAGGCCAGGTGAGCCAATTAGATCATCCCATAATCAAACAAGTATCCTGAGCACTCAGCCCTAAGGTCACCACCTGTAGCAGCCATCCGTTATCTCAGACACAGCTTTAAGGCACGAGCTCTGGTCCATCCAGAAGACAGGGGAGCTGCTCAAGCAGGTGATGTCTTTTCCACATTAACACTGCCCTGCTGGAGTGACCAGATGCCCAAGGAGGGAAAAGCTGTTTCCAGCTGGGTCTCCATGAGATGCTGCTGGGAATGACGGCACCAGTCCTGCCCCATCTCTGCCGTTTTGTCTGATGGAATTTGTGACTGGAGTTCTAAAGATTGGGTATATCAGGATCCCAAAGTAAACCAGACAGCACCATGTGCTAGCTGCACCTTCACACACACCATCCTGCCAACTCTGCACCAGCATGGCAGAGGACGGTGGCAATGGCTTCTGTTCCCATCACTTCACCTGCTGGCTGGACCTAGAACTTAGGATGTCTATGGCAGGCTTCACACTATAACTAAACCATCATGTAATGCTGGTGCCTCAAAAGCCAGTGCAGTATTGGGTGAGAACTCAGGTGATTATGAAACCTGCTCAATATTAGGCTTAGCAACTAAGTCAGACTTGTTATTTCTCGTCTTAGAAAAATTGAGTGTTTTGTTTAAATGGGCTTAAAAAAAAAAAAAAAAAAAACACATATTTTTGGCTTTCACATCCCACATCAAGATCCCATTCATCTCCCCATCCCTTTGTATCTGCCCCTTAAATGGGCTTTAACCAAATACATTTTTTATGTGCGTTGGTGTTTTGCCTGCCTGTATGTTTGTGTGAGGGTGTCAGAAGCCCTGGAATTGGGAGTCATAGACAGTTGTGAGCTACCATATGGGTTCTGGGAATTGAACCCATGTCCTCTGGAAAGGTACTCTTAACTTCGGAGCCATCTCTCCAGGCCCCCTGCTCTGGGGGATTGGGGATTGAACCCACAATGTTATACATACTAACATATGCACTGTGTCCTCTATCTAGGAGCTATAACCACACCATTTCCAGTATTAATCCCAAAGTCTTAAACTCTGAGGGGGGGAGAAAGTTTCTAGCTGTGGTTCCTAGCTTGTCCCATTTAATCTGACGAGACTGCCATACAGTGAGGTCAAGAATCAACTCTGGACTCTATGGGGCGTATTTCTCTCGACCATTCTGATAGAAGAACATCCAAAAGAGGAGTGGCAGAATGCCAGACCTCACTGGCTTCTGAGACAAGGGTCTTCTCTAACCAGATGAGCTCTGATGAGGCTGGAAGTGAGGGAATAGACGTCGGTACCCACTACATACCTCTGCTTGGGCATACTGTCATGGCCTTGCCCAGAGGAATGTTCCCACCTCACTGCTCCTCCTCCCCGTAGAAGACAGCAGTGTTTGTTTTTGTGTATTGAGCCAAGGTCTTGATGTGTAAACCTGGCTGACCTGGAACTTACTATTCAGACCAGGCAGAGATCTGTCTGCCTCTGCCTCTGCCTCTCAAGAGCAGAAATTAAACTGTGGCCTCTACACCTGGCAGGTGGGAGGTGGAGTGCACAACGTCTCTAACCACAGACAACCCATGGCTAGCTCTCCCTACCACCTCAGCTGCTCCTACCCACCTTGTGGCTGCCTGTTTTAGTAATGCAGTCAGCAGTCACTTCTGAATAAAATGCAGCTTTATTAGGATATAGGAAAGACTGAAAGCCACAAGGGAGGAGACAGCCAAATCCCTCAAAATGACAGGGGAGAAAGTGTCTTGGTAATAAAACTTCTAACCATAGTACAATCATTAGATTTCCCCGCCTCCCAATTTTTTATTTCAAAGCTATAATAAATGAAACAAGCCACTTGTCAAAAAGAACAATAATTTTACACAAGGAAAAGCATATATACCAAGCCAAACACAACAGCACTCAGGTTCACATGGTGTAGGGTGCTCAGACCAGTGCCCAGCTTGAGGGGGGCTCCTGGGATGAAGAGAGGAATCACGGATCCCATCCTACCTCCTGAATTGAAGACATCTGAAGAGGGCTAGTGTGGTCTCCCGTGAGGCTGGTACCAGCAGTGTGGAGTGAGGGGCTGGGCAATGCAGCCCTGTAGGAGGAGACACGCTTCATGGCCATCTGAGCACTTCCTTGGATGGGAAACCCTTTTCCTGCCTTGCTATTCAATGGGGTAACTGGAAGAACTTCCCAAGCTCACTGCTCAGACCTCGTGCTCCTCAGTTGTCCACATATGCCTGTCTAGCTGAGACATCATGCTGAGGGTCCCAGGACACAGAGGTAGGGCCAGATAGAGGTGTGGCAGTCATGGAGTTGGTTGGCCTCCTTGCTGCAGGCACAGAGGGAGGTACTTAGAATTAAGCCCGCAGTAAAGAAGGGGAATGCTGCACTTGGATATAAAAGGTGAAAGCCGCTCTGACAGAAAACAGGTTCTGTCCTCCTCAGTGCCCCAAATTCAGGCAGAGATGGGCTGTGTGCTGTGGGGATAGAGGAAGCAGGCCTGGCCAGCACACCTGCTCATTTCCCCTGCTTCTGGATGCCCCATCCACCAGAGTATCAAGGAGGCAGGCCTTCAGGACGTTTTGGGCTCTGGTTCCTCTAGGCCAACTGCAGTGAAGTCTTTCCTATGGGTGCTCACAAACAGAAGAATATGATTCCCCAAGGGCAGCTCCATAGCTGAGTCCCACAAACACCAATCCATGCCTGAGAATCTGGGCTCACCCATATTTCTCAAAAAGGGCATTTTCTAAAACATGCTTCAAGTTTGTTCTTTATTTTAAATGCAGAAATAGAAATGCACAACAGAGGAGAACATGGCAAGTGTACACACTACACAGGAGGCTTTAGCTGCCCCCCCCCTGACTTCCGTGATTTTTACATGACTCAATAGCAACCTCTCAGTTTTGCCACTGCTACCTCATCACATCACAACCAACTGAGGAGCTGGGATGGAACCTGCCCTGCCTCTTTGTAGCCTGACAGTGAAGAAAAGTCTTATCTTCAAACAGTTAAAAAAATTCTGTACACATAATTCTATGTAATTCAAATTTAGGGCGTGTAAATTAAAGACGATCAGAATACAGCTGTACTTGCTACGCATGAGTGGTGCACATGATACCTGCTGTAGACCTACAGCTCTAAGCCTGGCTCTTAGGAAACACTTGCTGGTCCTGAAACTCCTGGGGTGATGTGCCAATAGGCTCCTGGGCAAGCACCACTGAAAAGGCAGTGGTATAAAGAGAAAGCACTAAGACTCTAGATTTTAATTTCTTAGAAATAGACAACCTAAGCCTTGTCCAAAAACACATGCAAAATATCTTACAAGAAACTTCATTGATTAACCCTGTCAGCAGAACTGGTCACCAAGCCTTTTCATTCTGGCCATAAAACTGAAAACTGAAACTATAGTGAACACAGAGCAGAGGCAAGTGGGTGAAACGATGCAATGCAGTCTCCATCAAGAGCACTCAGCTTCAATTCTCACATAGCCACCAAACCACCTGGACAGGCAAAAGAACCAATGACCAAGAAGAAACATGGAAGACTGGGTCACTGTAACCACCAAGGAATAATATTCCATCTACTGCAAAGATGAAGATAACAGAGACCCCATTCTCCACTGCCTGGCCACTGGCTAACTGTGTGGAGAGGAAGGCAGGGTACAGGGCAAGGAAACAGCACTAACCATAAAGCAAGACACTCTGTTCTCAGAAGGAAAGAGGATCACCCACATTTCCACATAAACTTGATAATCATTCACTTTACTACTAGCACATTTATGAAAGTCACTATCATGGAAAAAGAGCAAGGGGTAGAGGTAAGAAGATGCCTATTTCTAGAAAACAAAGGGAACCTCTGGGCTGATGTTTCCACATGCAGTTGATGCTAAGTTATCTGTAGGACAGATATTTTTAGCCTGTGGGTGGCCTCAACCTAGGCTCAGGGTTATTTTACTACTTTAGAAAGAACAGGCACTCCCTGTTCTTAATGCCACCGGACACAGAGTGCTGCAAGCACTCTGCCCACTGGCATCATCTCTGCCTACTCTACAGCTTTCATGGGCTCATTTTCAACACAGGTGCTTTTTAAACCCGTGTGGGATGACAGGGTGAAACACCAGGCAGAGGCTCATCTGCTGGGAAGACATCACCCTCAGCATACCACAAGATTGACAAGAGGTGGCCCACTAGTTCCTGTCCACCAAGGGCACACTCCACTCAATCTTACAGCTCATGCCCACCCTGACATCTTCTAGTGCAGAGGGGCCATGTGTGAGGCATGTCTGCACAGGAGGGATACCATGGTGTTCTGATGTGGGGAGACCAGGGATCATGTCAGGAAGCTTGCCAACTTGTTCTTTTTTATCTTTTTTCTTCTTCCTGGCCAGCAGGGCAGGAGGTTACTCATATTCCAGGAACTGTTTGTGGTAGAAGAGTAGGTACCTGAGGAGGTAAAGGGAAAAGTGGGCTTAGTCCTAACTTTAAAAATAGCTATGCCAGTCAAGAATGGTTCACAAGCTTGACTTTTTGAATGGGTACTGTAGCATCTCAAGTCTTCAAAAAACAGACATTTCTGGCCTCCCATCACCCAACTTGACTTGGTGACCCTCTGTAGTCATTAACTCTCCTGTTCACAGTGGTGCTACCTTCATGCAGGGGCCTTGTCTCCCTCAACCCCAACCCCTGCCCAGTAAGTAATACACTTTTCTCCTCGAGTTCTCTCCAAGGGGCTCCCAGTCTCCAGAGCCTCACATACACCACCTGCATCTGTGGCAGGTTCTGTCTTGACGCTGGAGCTGGGAATCCTAAGGACCCGAGGAGGCTTGGGGTGAATGATGACACACCATGAGTAACAAAAGCAGCAGAGAAGCTGATCAGAATGCTGCACAGCATTGTTAGGACAAATGCTGACTATAATGTTCTTTGATCTACAAGAGGCATAGACAGAGATCTAGAGAACTCTGTTCGGCAACACTCCCACCCTGTAATCACAACCTAAAAGTAACATCTGATCCAAGGAGCCACTGTCCCTTCAGCAACAAAGCCAAACTAAACTAAGGTGAATTTCCATTGTGGCAGATGCAGCCTAGCCTGTGGCTTTGGTCAGACATGAGAGGTGGACAAACACCAGCACAGGCCCTCCAACCCCACCCCTTAGACATACCCTTCGCTGTCCAGCACATCCTTGATGCTGGCCTTGGTGATGATGGCATCATCACACTTGAACCACTGGTCTTTGTGCTGCCGTATGAAGCTGGTATAGTGGCCGCTCTCCAAGGTCCCCTGATGGTTAACAACAGCAAAGAGGGAGTACCTGGGGTGGAAGGAGACAGCATCTGAACCATGAATTCCTAGAACTGCACTGAGTGGCAATCCACAGTGGCAGTAACTGCTTTACTAGTGCCATCAGCCTGTGCTACCAAAGCAAGAAGAATGATACCAGAAGAAGCAAGATCATTAGGTTGAGCTCTTAGGCAGACCCTCATACCACAGGTCTCTAGAATGGGGTGGCCACCAGGAGGGAGACTGTTCAGAGGGGAGACTGGAAGGAGGGAAGGACAGGTTAGCTGCCTGAGAAATGCCCATTCCCCCAGCCCCCAGGTCCTGCAACCCCACGTACTTGTTGTCATTGTTGAGACTGTCCAGGGGTTGTTGGTACTGCCCATTCATCCTGCTTTCTTTGCTGTAAGGCAGTAATAAAACTGAATTAGTAACTCACCAGAGAGAGAGGCTCCAATGACAGCATTAACCGATGCCAAGAGGCACACTTCATACACACCACTTTTCCTAGGCAGACTGCCCCACACAGTGGTGAAGTGGTGAGAAATCCAGCTTGGGCTGGAGATCCTGGACCTCCTACTGCTTCTGTGGCAGCAACCCACTCCTACTCTGAACCCTGAAGCCGCTTTCCGCCCCAGGAGCTTCTGATACTGGCTTTGTGAAGTCTTGCTTGTAGCACACCAAATAAAGAAAGAATTCCTTCTAAAGGCTGTAAGTTAGCCCCATAATAACATTCTTAAAGAGCACAAGGGTTACCATGAAGTATCTCACTAGCAGCAGGTTGGGTAGAATGGGAGGAGAGGCTGTGCAGGGAAAGGCACATTTCAAACTAGTTTATTTAACTACAGCCAAAGTTAAAGGACAGCAAGACCTACGAGACCTTGGTATCAGCAACAATGTCTCCCCCTCCCTAGATATGTTAATACTTCATTTTCCAAAGAGACAATTCTCATGGTCTCTCACATCATGTCAGTTAGTGACCTGTGAACACAGGAACACAGCCACAAGGAAGGACATCAAAGACTAATAATAGGAAGCCTATCAAGAGTGTACAGTGGGCTGAGGTGTGGTTTCTGAAATGTTCTGTCTGCATCTTGACCCTCAAAAAACTGCGAATGTGACCCATTTAGAAGACTTGTGCAGATGTGATGAGATGTTGAAATGAGGCCTTTTATAGACAGGCTCTACCTCTATCCACCAGTACCTAGAAAACAGATGAGACACACACACTCAGGAAGGGCCTTGGGCCCAGGGCAGTAACAGCCAGAAAAGGACACAAGGGAACCCTGTCAGGACCCATCTCTACAAACTTCCTATTTCTGTGCTTCTATTACTGTGAGAATAAACTTCTATTGTTTTAAGCTACCACATTTATAGATGGTAGCCACAGACAGCAAACACATTAGTAAGCACTGTAGATCTTTGAGGGTTAAATTTGTGTGGTCTATGGTACACAGGATTTGATCTCAAGGAAGAGAATCCATTGATGCAATTCACCCTGTTTATCTGTATTTCAAAATCTGTCTTCATTAACCAAAAACTGTCACGTGGTTTGCCTTTGAGTATTCTGATGAAGTAACGGCCAGGTTTAACAGTACAGATAGGTACCCAGGGTAAAGCCAGGACAAGTAATGAAGCTGGGGAGGTGAAGTCTATACAGTTATAAGATAGCCTGTCTAAAGCCTGGCACTAGGCTATCACCCAGACAACTTGTCACCATGCCACCTGGACACACACAGGGGCACCAAACCTTCCTACCTGGAGGCCATAAAGGGTGTCATGTCCAGTTCCAGGGGGAAAGACACATATGTGGTAATCTTCCGCCGAAGTTTGGCTGAGTGTTCAAATCTCTGTGGACATGAAGGGAGAGGGGGAACAAATGATCAGACTGAGCAATAGTTGGGACACAGAGCCTGGAGGCTCCCAGCAAGGGGCCCCTGAAGAGCTTCTAACTTACTGAGTTTTCTTAGACAGCCCTGTTCAGGCTGACACAGAACCAGGACCCTCCTGACTCAGCCTCCCGAATGCTGGGATTACAGCTGTGTACTACCAAACTCTCACTGATCTTTTACATTTTGCAAGGATATTAAAATAAAGATAGGAAACAGATCACATGCAGCCTTTAAAGACTCAAATACTAGCACTGGCTGCTCTCCCAGAGGAGCTCAGTTTGATTCCCAGCACCCACATGGCAGCTCATAACGGCCTATAACTCCAATCCAACAGGATCCAACACCATTTTCTGGTTTCTGTGGGCACCGGGTATGCATGCAGTGCACAGACCTACATGCAGGTAAAACACCCATACATGGAACAACAAAAAGACTCAAATTTCCACTACTTGGCTTTTCCCACAAAGAGCCCGCTGGCCTGTGACTAGACCATAAAGCTCAGGCCCTTGTTTTCTGCATCTTTTCTTCCCTCAGTTCTGGAGTGGAACTCAGAACCCTGTGCATTTTAAGTAAGAGCTCTACACGGACTCACACCCCCTAGCCTGGGTCTCTGTTTTTAAGTGAAACAAAGTTGTAAGAGGAGCTGAAGATGGCTCAGCAGTTACAAGAGCCTGAGAACCTGAGTTCAAATACCTGCACCTGCATAAAATACCGGCATTGGATGCAGGCACCTGTAACCCCAGCACCGTGAGAGGCACAGACAGGACCACTGGGCTTGCCAACCTCAAGCCTAACTCTAGGTTCAGTGAGAAACCCTGTCTCCATGTGGTAAGATGGAGTATGACAGAGCAGGCTTATGTCCGCAGAGACAGAAGTAGTAAAATCTAAGTCCACCTCCTACAGCAGCTCCTTCCTCTCTTCACAAGGAGGTGCACAGTCTGTCAGCAAGAGACAGAAAGGTGAAGGAAGCAGCTCCACTTCCTGCTTCTTGGGACTGGTGCATGCTGAGAGGCTCTAAACTGAGCTGCTGAGCTTGAGGCCATGTTGCAGGCTAATGCTGGGTGCTCCCATGGCTGGTTTTCTGAGAAACTCACTTTGAGATGGAAGCAGGCCACAATGGGCAGCTTCTTCATGGTGAGCTGCTTTGTGGACTCTTGGTAGCTATGGCAACCACTACACTTGATCTTGGCACTGCTTCCCAAGTGCTCTGGTCTGGTAAATCTACAAGGCATTAAAAAACAAAAACAAACAAACAAACAAAAAACATGCATTAAAAAGAAAGAAAGAAAGGAAGAAAGAAAGATAGTAAGTGGAAAGGGAAAGGTAAAAGACAGAGAGAAAAGGGAACAGGTTATTTTACCACCCAAAGCGCATACCAACAGTTACAAGCATTGTATTTCACAACACAGTAATGCCTTTATCTTTTTCCTGCTTCTCTTAAGCTCTCTTTCTCTATCCATCCATCCATCCATCCATCCATCCATCCATCCATCCATCCATCCATCTCCTACACACACAAATATATTTTAGTGAGAGGTCTGGAGGAATGCTAATTTTCTCATTATTATACATTCCAGCAACTCAACCTGTCTTAGAACAATAGAGCACCCAGCCACACAAAGCTATAAATGGTGACAGCAGCAGTTCCAAAGACCCAAATGGCTCAATAAACAAATGGCATCATCACCCATTGGCTACCAGTAAGCAACGGAATGGCATGACCTACCCCATACACAATTGGAAGGGCAAAGTGGCATTCTGAACCAACACCACAAGGATGTGTCTTACCTTCGCAGGCAGTCTGTGAGAGTGGTGGTGCCTGCTACATGGCTCTCCCCGTTAACCACACTGCCCTCACTCCCTGGGCTCAATGGCCAGAATGGGGTGGAAGAACCGGGCAGGTCTAAACTGATGTCCCAGAAGGGGTCTATGGTAGTGGAGACGCCGCTGCAGGAAGAGATGACAACACATGAGAGCATGTGAGGACTGGTGTGTACTGTGGCCGGAGGCAGCCCCTAGAGATAGGCCAAACATGCTGCCTGTTCTGCCTACATGCCCACCAAACGCCTCAGGACAGAACAGGAGCGTCCACCGTAATGACTATTTGGTGAGTCTGGCAGAGTATCAGAGCTCAGCATGCTGGGATCCAGCTCATAATACTTAGGAACTGCAGCAACACTGCTCAGAAACTAGGTGCCCTGCATAGGCAAAGCCACTCAGAAACCCCCATCCACAGTGTACACAGGCCAAACTTGGCAGTCCCACAAACAAGGACCACTGCATTTAAGAAGGTTATTTGGGAACTGGAAGGCAGAATAAGAAACCTACAACTACACTGACTCCTATCAGGAGGCTTACTTCACAATTTTAAAGTGGGGAAATTCAGAATAGGAAATTGGGTTCAATATGAACCAAAATTCAAGGCTACCTCTTGCTAACAGAATGTAGTAGTTACAGGCCAAGGAGGGAGGAATTCTACATTTTTCAAAAGTCTCAAAGGAGCTCCATACCTGGAAAACCATAGGAGCACCCCTAGATTCCTGCACGGCAGTCTTGAACCCTGTTCAGAATACAGGTGAGCACAGGGGAAGGTGACCAGGGCTTTCAAACCCAGGGGTAGAGTAAGAACGGCAGTGGCCTGGGGTGAGCCAGTGGAGCACACACCAGGCATAGCCACCAGGCATGGCAGGGTGGGTAGGGACTTCTCCAGCCACTGCCAAAGGACCCGATCTGCACCTGGAGGGGAAGCACTCAGCAATGGCTACACCTGGAAAGGACTGTGGTCTTATGTAAGCAAGTGGAAAAGGAGCCAGTTCACACTTGGAGCACGGAAGGCAATGATCTGCCATGTGAAGGGGCTATCTGCTTTGGTTCTTAGTCTTGAAGACCACAAGAAACATGTATGAAGCTGCTGAGGACACCCTGCTAATTGCTAGCAGAGTAAAACTCTAAAGTCCCCAAGGGAAGAGCTCCAAGCTTTCAGATTCAGGCCATCTGCTGATTCCTTGTGTCTTTTCTGTCAGAGGCATCGTATGTCAAATGACCAGAGCATAGCTGTTTAAATAAAATTGTCCCTCTCCTGAAACTGGTGTAGGTGCTTCACTACAAACACCACAGAACTCAGGGAGCCTTCTCTAAGGTGGTACTGAGCTTTAGGCTTCAGGTCCAAACAAGACCTTCCCTTGCTGACTGGGAAATGCACCAGGATATGGCACAGCCATGGCAGATTAAAACACTCCTAGTGACTGCCCAGCTGATGGGAGCACTTACTGGCACACTTGGCATGTGACATCAGACTGGAGCCCACCGGTAAAGATTTGGTCAATGATGCAATTGCAGTGGTTAGGGTTGTTGGCTTTCTTCCCATTGTCATCACCTGAGGACAAAGAAGTGTGATTACCATTAGTAATGTCACCAAGTCCACATCACCCAGCAGAGACAGGAGGACACCAGGGGTATCAACACTCTATGAGGTATGTGAAGGCTATTGGTAGCAGGGGTGGGGTGGGGTGTGTCATTCTTCCTTTTCTTTCCTGAGTCAGGGTACGGTAGCTCTGGCTGGCCTTGAACTTGCAGAGATCTGCCTGCCTCTGCCATCTTGGAGTTGGGATTACAGATGAGCCAGCACACTGGCTCTGTGACCACTATTCTTGTAGAGATTCACACCTATAATTCCAGCACTCAGGAGGCTGAGACAAGGGGACCAGTGCTTTGGGAGATCGTGTCTCCAAAAATACCCCAAATCAATTGGTATTAACAAAACAAACTGTGGAGAACTCCTTAGAAGAAACCATGCCATTTTCCTTAGTGGAAACAGAACCTGACTATACTGTCTCCAAGACAAATCACGCATTTTCCTAGAGATGCCTGGGTGAGCACCAGCCTTGCTCTGCTCCACTTTTAAGGGAACTCCCCGCCTGCCCCAGCCCAGCAGGGAGATGGTGGCAGGCCCACCTTTGCAGTGCCGGTGGAGGACATCCAGGGCTGCAATGAGGAATTCATGTGCATCCTGCTGTTCATAACCCGCCAGGTGCCGGGCATGTGTCCACACCAGGTGCAGCAGCTTGTACGGAATGTGTGGGGAGCGGTGCCCCGAGTAAAACTGTTTAGAGAGAAGGAAAAGGGACAACTAGGACACCTGCCAGTCTTTGTCTCACACACACACACACACACACACACACACACACACACACACACACACACATATCCACAGCTGCAGACTGGGTAGGTAGTTTGATCAAACAGACCCGTCCATCCATCTTTCCTTCCTTCAAGACAGGGTTCCTCTGTATATTAGCCTTGGCTGTCTGGCATTACCTTTCTTTTCACAAACTGATTAAAAAAAAAAAAAATTTTTTTTTTTTTTATTTATGCACTTTGCATGTATATGGGTGAGTCAAGCCACAAAACAGCCTCAGCCAAGCTGAACACACAAAAAGTTTGGGACCAGAAGTGTCTAAGACTTTAGAATTTTTGCAAATGAGGCATATAGGACCCAGGTCTAAACAAACAAGCAAACAAACAAAAAAACAAAACAAACAAACAAAAAAAAACCTCAACATATAGTATGAAGGTAAGTTATGAAGTATGTGTACTAAACTATCCCAGGGAAGGTATGGAATTCATTGACCACAAAGTCTTAGATTTGGAATTTTTGGGGTTTTACTTATCAGATAGTGATGCTCAACTTCTACTAGAGACTAGAACTGAGATTTACATAGCACCAAAGCTACTTAGAGTAGTAGACTGTTTAAGACTACACACTGAAAAGCAAGGGCAGTGATGAAAATTAACTTAAACCAAGGAAGGTGCTAGAAACACTTCACACAAAACTGTATATATTAATGCACTTACAACTTGTAATAGTAAAAACTGGAAACCACACACAAGTGTTTGAACCAGGCAGTATAGTGTTTGGCCACAGAGCATTCTTTGGTAGGACAGCACTGACGCAAATGCCACACATGGACCTTAATGTATCAACCCTGGACTGTGGCCCAAGGCAGCCCTGACAACAAAAGAGCAAAGATGCCTGGATGCACACTGGTAAAAGATCACTGAAAGGAATGAGGGCAGCCTGCTGGCTTCTGTGCAGGGTAGGGCATCCCATTTCTGGGATGGAAAAGTTATTTCTACTCTGATACTTGATCTGAGACCACTGAGACACTAGGTGCTGAGACCAAGCCTGAACAAGGAGCATCACTTTGTTTAGGGATAGGCATGGATAGGCACAACACAAGTGCAGCTATCATGAGATCAAGGACAGCATTAGCAAGCACTGACTCTGTGTTGCCAGTGTGCAGAGCAGAGGCCTTTGACAAAGCACACTTGGGAAGGGCTATCTACTGAGAATAAAGTAGGCAAAGGGGCTGGGGCACATCTGCAGGATTTCCTGAATGCAGGGGTCAGACTTTGTTTTTAATAATTTATTTGTATTTTATAAGCATTGGTGTTTTTCCTACAAGTTTATGTGTGAGGGCATCAGATCCCCTGGAACTAGAGTTACAGACAGCTGTGAGCTGCCATGTGGGTGGTGGGAATTGAAATGGGTCCTCTTGAAGAGCAGCCAGTGCTGGTAATTGTTGATTCAACTCTCCAGCCCCCAGACAACAGTATTTATACAAGAAACTGCCAGGACTACTGGAGATGAATGCCATCCATAAGGTGACTCTGCCCACTTTGATTGAGAGTTCCTCTCCTTGGTGAGTAGTAATGTATCTCCAAAAACCAAACCAACAACCAGTATCTCTAGCAACCCCTTTGTAAAGCCATGGCTTCCACAGTACAGTCACATAGTGAAAACTAATGAGCAAGGTTGTCGCCAACTGTTTCACTTCTTTAAAAGGGGGAAAGAGGCAGTTACAGCTGCTCCTGCACTCACCTCCTGGAAGAGAGAGGACATCTCACAGACCAGGCAGGAGCTGGGGCTCTGCATCTCACAGCGGTGCCTGTCTGACAGGAAGAAATCTCTCAGAAGCGGCGTGTGGGTCAGTGCCTGCACGATGCAATTCATAAAGCATGTGTTCCCCAGGTTGATCAGTCCTCGAAGACCTGGATGGGGAGTCATCAAGAGCAGGGTCACTTGTGCACTGATCTCACACCCAGGATGTCAGATCCTGGCCAAAGCGAAGCTTCCTTCCCATCTCCATCAACTCATTCAAGCAGCATGAGACGAGCAGGAAAGTGTAGTGTTCTCTAATTTTTGAAAGGATAGCAGACCGCTCATCACCACTGCCCCCTTCATTTGTCCTTTATGTATTTACTATGAAAGCAGGCAGGTCAGAATGGAGCCTCTGTAATAAGGCAAATACTTTTCAAAGCAAGCTCTAAAATATTATTTCTTCCTTCTTAGAAGAAGTGGTTATGGGGGGGGGGGCACACATCTTTAATCCTAGCACTAGGGAGGTAGAGGCAGGTGGTTCTCTGAATTTGAGGCCAGCCTGGTCTACAGAGTAAGTTCTAGGACAGCCAGGGCTACACAAGATGAATCCTGCCTCAAATCACTCACTCACTCACTCACTCACTCACTCACTCACTCACTCAATCAATCAATCAATCAATCTGGTGTGTGATGAGATGCCCATCCCGCCCACACCTGTAGTGCTGACCGCACCCAAATGGACACAGGTGTGGACATGATGGAGAGTGGCTTTAGGTCTGGGGTCAGGGCACAGTTGGCTCTCTCGCTCCAGGTTGGGTTGCAGAGAGCAATCTGTGTGGATCTTTGGAGTGGGAACTTGAAGAGGTCATTTGTTTCTTATGTGAGTGACTTCTCCCCAAATAAAATTATAACCTGTATCAAGCCTAGTCTCTTGAATCCGGTGCTCAACTACGCTGGTGAACACCCTCACTCACTGGCATCTCATCTCCGTGAAGAAAGAAACTGGGAGGGATCACCTCCACTCGTCCCTCTGGGTCCCACACCTACAGCGGCTGCTGAAGAATGGGTGCTGAACGAACCCAGGAAGGCACCCAGGCCAGCCCAGGTGCGAGGTTTCTGTGAGTCTCACCCACCGATGGTACAGTTGGAGGTGATCTTCCGCCTCTTCGGGTTGTGCTTCAGCAGTTCCAGCTCCCGCTTGGTTGGTTCCCAAGTCGAAAACTTCTCTCCCACACCTAAGCAGAGGGAAAGGGAAGAGTCTCAGGCGCTGTTAGCGAAGTTCTCTTCTAAATAAAAGCTGTGATGATTTGACCTACACTGGGCTCCATTTCAGAGAGGCACCCTTCTGCTAACACCCTGCTATGCTGAGAGGTGCCAGATCACCACACAAGTTTCCCTCAGTGAATGTTTACTGACTGAGTCAAGGAAAGCAACAAGACCGACCCATCAAACTGACAGACACTAATGTTTCATGACTGCCTTGGATCCCGGGGTCCAGAGATGGTAGCATCAGCTCCAATGGGGACACCCTGATAACTCATGAAGGATCTTTCTGAAAAGGAGACTGACAGAGAAAATGTACTTTGAGTCTAGGGTGCGGCTTAGTGGCAGAGCACTCACCGACAGTATGTGTAGTCCACGTTTGATCCTCAGGACTGCCAAAGGAAGAGAAGTGCACTTCCTTGTTTTGTTTGTTGCCTGAGTTAGGGTCTCACTGTGCTGCCCTGGCGGGCCTGGAACTTGCTATGTAGAGTGGGCTGGCCTCAACCTCAAAAGATCGGCCTGCCCATCTCCCAAGTTCTGGGACAGTGAAAACATGCACCATAGCCTACTGAAAATGCACCTCCAATTTGCTTGCTGAACGTACTACAAAAGACTGGAACCCACGACAATGTACCCACTAGGTAATGCAGAGCACACTGCACTCTCCAATTCAATAAACTTGACCAGATGGAATCAGAATGAGTTTTGCCTTCTTCTTGACCCAGGCACTGCCCCTTACGAGTCACAATCACAGGGGCACTGAGTACCTGGCCAGGCTAATGCCCCTGGGAATGAAGGATTGAGCTGCTGGAGAGGCTCATCCATTAAACCAGATGCCAATCTGCACAAACCCAGTGCTGACTGGCTCCTTTGTTCCTTGTGTCTCACTGTCTCATCAGGTTCTACTGTCACCATACCTCAAGGAGGGGCAGGCACACCGTGACTGACCTCCTGTGTTAAGGACATTATAGAGATAAAATAATGATAATGGACTGAACCTCTGAACTGTAAGCGAGCCACTACAATTAAGTGTTTTCCTTTATAAGAGTTGCCATGGTCATGGTGCCTCTTCACAGCAACAGAAACCCTAATTAAGACAGGCCTATTTCAACAGTTTTTGTTTCTTTCTTTTTTATAGTGCTGGAGTTCAAGACCTTGTAGCCTTGTAGATGCTAGGCAATGGCTCCACCATTAAGCCAGACACTTGGTCCAACATTTAAGGAATTTCCACCAGTCCAGCAAGAGGCAACACAGTATCTCAATCTGTCAGCTAGGAACTGAATAAAGAAAGGGAGGAAGTGTACTGTCTAACAGACCTTTTGCAGGGAAGATGGACACAGCCTGGGGCATTGTGGTGGAAGAGCCATTTGTCTTCTCCTAAGGACCAAACCATTTCACTAAATCTACATAGCTCCTGTGTTAGTTTCTTTACTTCTGTGAGCTGTGTGACTGACACAGGAAAAGTAGGACTTGTTTTTTCTCTCTTACAAAGAGTAAGCCAGCTTCCTTGACTATTTTCTGTCACCTAACCTTCTCTAAGCACCGTGCACACACCTTGTAACTTCCATGCCTTGCGCTGCTCCTCTTTGGCAATGATTTCTATGTCCTTGTCATAGATGTAGTCCTGACACAAGAAGCAGTATATCCCTCCATACATCAGGTCAATAGCTGCAGACAGAAAGGAGGGAAGAGAACAAAATTAAATCCAGCATGGTAAGATAGTGCTTCAGGCAGCTGAACACGGACCAAGTGTTCTAGACTCGAGCTGCCCAGAACACTTTTTTCTGTAAGCTTCAGGAGTTCCAACTATGAGGGTTTATCCAGGTAGGTGGAGTATGTCTGCTGTCTCCAGAAGCTTCCTGGAGGGCTGAGCAAGAATGGGAGGTGCATATCTGTGGCTTGCAAAGTACGGATTCAAGAATGCAAAGTACAGATTCAAGAATCAGGATGCTCTGCTTCAGCTGTGCAAGCATAAAACTCAAAACTACGGCAAAACTTCATAAAGTATTTATTTTAGGTCCACAAGAGTTCTCAGTAACCTGATTGGAGAATGAGACTTTGCTACATCCCCAATGGCTGGCAATCTTGTAAGAGCAACTATTTGCTGCTTCCTCTTATCTTGACTAAGTGTTGTTCTTCTTCCAGGGACAGGTGAAACAGGTTCCACTCAGAAAACCTTACTTCACAGCACAGAAACCAAACTTACAAAGGTATATTTCCAATTGCCACTTCAAAATTAGGGACTGAGATTGCTGAGTGACAGGATTCCAGGTGTCACTTTGAGCTGCTGCCAGACTCTGAAGCAAGCATACCACTGAAACAATTGCTTTCTGATCACAATGGAATAACGCTACATTAGCAGGAGAAAGAAAAATAAAACAAAACAAAACAACAAAACAAAACAAAAAATACTTGGAAAACACATGGATGGGACAGAAACCAACCCAATTGAATTTAAGGAGAAATGTTAGGAAAATTAGAAACTATTTCAAGAGAAATGAAAATAAAAATCTGTCAGGCATGATGGTGCACACCTTTAGTCCCAACATTCAGGACACAGTGTTAGGTGGATCTGAATTTGAGGCCAGCCTGGTCTACAAAGTAAGTTCAAAGACAGCAGGCTATTATACAGAGAAACCTTGTCTCAAGAAGAAAAAAGAAAGACAAGAAAAATCTATCACACTAACTAAAACTTAGGGACTTGGGGAAGGAGATGGACACAATGCTAAGATGGAAACTGGTGGCTGTATATGCTAACACTAACCAAGATCAAGCCAAATGTGATCATGCATGCTTGGAATCATAGCAAGCCAAAGTCTGACAAAAGAGTATCCCATGTCAGAAGCTTTTAAACATGACTATTTAAAAGAAGAAAGCAAGAGCTGGACATGGTATACATAACCTAATATACTAGCACTAGGGAGGTGGAAGCAGGAAAATCAGAAGTTCAATTCAAGGTTATCTTTGGCTGCATGGCAATTTCACAGCACGAGACTAACAACAACAACACACACACACAACTACTTCACACACACATGCACAACTACTTCATATTCTTTATGACATATAGTTCTTAGCTAGTCTTTCATGAACCTGCATTATTGGAAACCAGGAAAACCCATTGCTAAAGCAAAAAACAAAAAGGCTTCAAGCAAATGGTAACACCCACTTGATAAGTTCAGTTTTATAAGGAGGTTTTGGGGTATGATGACATGCTTACTGAGCCAATGCCTGCTTATGACCCTACTGCAGGAGGGTGCCTTACCCAGGTTATGCCGCTTTGACTTTGCATGGTCATGGATGTGTTTCTTTGTGAAACAGCCAAAGAAGACGCAGTAGAGGCAAGAGTGCAGCCGGTTCAGGTGGATGCCGCAGATGTGGCAGACGCAGGACTTTGCCTGAAATGTAAATGAGGAGTTATGAGCAGTGTGGATGCAACAGGAGTTCCCAAGGGGAAACATAGAGTCCAAGTCAGAGGACCACAACTGGGACGCTGGTGGGAGGAAGTACAAGAGATTTCTTCTGAGTCTCTACTCTTTAACATATCACTCCTTTCTTTCAGGTTTTTCCCATCACTTTTTCACCCCTAGTACTGAATGAACGGTGCCCTAGGCAAGTGCCACCTGCACTCCAACCAGCAGCTCATACCCAACCATCTTTAATTCAGGTACCAAGGTTCTAAAAACGATGCACAATGAGTTTAAAAGAAAAACAAAACAAAAAAACAATATAAAACAATCCAAGAACTACAGAAAATAGACATGAATCAAAGCAATAAATAAACAAAAGAGAAAAATCCATTGCCAAGAATCAGGCCACAGAGACCCAGCAATATAATCATAGCAAATAAATGCAGCAGCAGACAATTCTACATTCTCACACTACCCAAGAATGTGCCAGTTTGTAGCACTGCGGGTCAGGTATAGAAAGAGGAAGGGCCAGAGTTATAAATGCTCACTGGGCAACTAGGGCACAATTTGACATAGGTATCAACAGTAAGAATGAATTACTTAAATCTGGTAAAAAACAGAAGTTCATACTAAATTTCATACTAAAATTACTACTATACAAGCACACATCCTAGCTCTCCCAAAGTCATCTTTCTAGGGAATTCCATATAAAGCTGCAATGTGAACAAAACAAAGATCATTTTCTATAACCATCACAATTATCAACTGACAAACAGAATCATTCATGGATACTGGAATCCCAAGTAAGATAACAATGGTACTCAAAAACTGACCAAATATTTACCAAGTCAATGAACAGACATGTTGATATGGGCATGACCACAGGCTACACAGTACAAGACAACCATGCAGACTTCAACTGGGGAGGACAGGGAGCAGATGCAATGTGCCAAAATCTGGTGGAGGTAGGCAGACTGCATACTACTGAATACTCCAACTCATGCTCCAGTGTTCTTTCAAAGATGGAAGCTGGCATACTCTGGGTGGCATGGCTGTGAAGAGTTGTTTGACTGTTCTGTATCCGCTGTACTTTTTGACGACTAGGTTTCTGTTTCTTTACTGCTAAACCTGTGCTTAGGTTTGGATCCAGGTCCACCTGTTGAACATCTTGTCACAGCCACTTCTCACTGTAGGTTAGCTCAGGGAGTTGTAGTAACTGAAGGCAACACAAGTCAGTATTCAAGTATGGACTATGTATGAGATGAGATGGCCATGTTCACTCGTTATTCCTGGGCAGTGTTCATTACCATGGTCATAAGACTATGTCCTCATTCTTCTGAAGGTAGATGGCAATAATTACCTAGATGCCATCAATTGATTCTCAGATAATTTGAGGAAAAAGAATGGCAAAAATGATACTAGAGAAGGCTCAACAGTTAAAAGCGCTGGCTGTTTTCACAGAGGACCTGACATCCTTTTCTGGCCTCTGCAGAGGCCCACAATGGTACACAAACATACCTCAGGCAAACACTCATACATATAAAACAAAATAAAGAATGGCAAAAACAAACCAATGAAATGACATAAATAAAGTCGGGCAGTGGTGGAGCACACATGCCTTTAATCTCAGAAACTGATGGATCTCTGTGAGTTCGAAGCCAGCCTGGTCTACAGAGGAGTTCCAGGACAGACCCCAAAGCTACAAACATTGTCTCAAACAACAACGACAACACCCAACAACAAAAGAAACTACATAAATATATATAACAATTTTTATGACATGTTGTTTATTGCAGGATTTTTGTTTTTATAAAAGGAAAGTATTATACTGAATATATAAACTGTACAGCTCCTAGATTTATAAATAATGAGACACAACAGAATGTTCACAGTAGTGTATAAATGTTCATCTTGAGTATAAATAAATGCTGATTTGGTTGGTCAACAGAGTATTATGCAGCAAAAGAGAAGGCTTTAATCTGTAGCATGAATGAATCTCAACACACACAACACTGAAAGGGGCTACACAGTAAGTAGACACCACATCGCTCCCACCACATGAAGCACAGGGGCAGGCAAGCAAACCAAACACCATGAAAGCCTTATGAAATATCAATGCAGATGAAGGTAAGGATTTGCAGGAAGAGATGGGTGCTCTCCTCTGAGGTACTGTCTTGTTTTTAAAATGTATTATATTTACTTGTGTGCGAATGTACAAATGCCACAGGGGGTATGCAGACATCAGAGAACCATCTGTGGAAGCTGGCTCTCTCTTACAATGTGGGTCCTGGGATCAAATTCAGGCTATCAGGTTCAGTGGCAAGCACCTCTACAAACTGAGCAATACTGCTGGCCCCATGGTAGTCTTTTATGTCTAGTCTATTAAATCATCAAATGTACACATCCTCTACAGATGGTTTGAAAAGTAGAACACAAAACAAAGGACCTACATAGGTAAATTAATAGGTAAAATGCTGCAATAATTTAAAGGGCCAACATATTTGGAAGAGCATGGGGGGGATCATTAAAGAGAGAAGAGAGTTTAAACTGTGGAATAAGAGGGGTACGATTCCAACACAGGAAATAAGGAGCCATGCAAGTGTGGGAGCATTAGAAAGTCCTCAGGGAAGGTCTATCTCTCTCTTTCTCATGACTCTACCATACACAGATGTGTGTGCACAGTGAGACTAAGGCAGAGCTGCAGGTTTGCCATGTGCATGTTAGACACATCTTGTCAGCTATTACCTTAGTTTCCATCATACCAAAACTGCTAAGTTTGAATTTCCAGTCATCCTCAAGGCTCAGGTTTTTAAAAACCCCATTGAGGCATCAGCAATGAAGCAGCCAGGGAGAGGCACAGTGGGGTGCACAGGGTGCTGATGAGGCACCTGTGGAGCAGCACAGCCAGCCTCTAGAGCTTTCCAGATACAAAGATGAAAAGCTGTCTTGAGAAGAAATGTGGCTCCTGAGCTGGCAGCAGCATGCCTAGGGTCAGCCTACCTATCAGCCAGTACCCAAAGCTAGCTCTGTGGATGGTGGGAACTGGAAGCTAACGTGGGCATCCAAGGGAGCCTTCGAAGGGAGCCTTCATCACAACACTCACATTAAGGCTACAAACAACCTGAGACACACCCATGATGCTTTTCCTTTCATTCTGTAGTTGTCATAGAGTGGTTTCATTATATATCTTAGTATACATTTATCATTGTACCTTTTTCAAACTCACCTCCAATTCTACCCAACTTCTTGGATTTCTTCCCCACCTCACAAGTCCCCTTTCTGCATTACTGTCCTGTGTTTAGAACTCACTGGGTCTATCTAATCCAGGAGTGGTGTGGCTCAGTGACATGGTAGTCTATCTCTAGCAGATCACACCCCCACCAGTAGTGTATGTAAGGGTTCCCCTTCCCCCCATATCATATCTGCTGTCATTTGTCTTGGGGGGAACCATTGCTCTGATGGCTGAAGATCAATACTTTTCTAGATAATTTGTATTCCTTCCTCTGCACCATCATGTGTGGCCAAACTTTTCTACAAGAGTAACTGGCTTGTGAAATGAAAACATGCCTAGCCAGAGGGAACTTGAGGAGAGTGGAGTTCTGCAGACAAGCTGAAGCCCAGGTACCTTCACGAGCATAACTACCTGCCTCCATTTCCTACTTCACTGTAGTCCAACAAAACATGAGTGTTGCACTGGTGTCTGAATTCTGGGTTGTGAGGATCATTTAAGACTTCTAGCACAGTGGAAATTTAAATATCGAGCTAAATAGTCCTAGTTAAAAAGGGAACTTTTCATTTCCTTGTGTAATGCTATGCAGAACTAGAGTCAGGGGGGATGGATGGGGAGAAAAAGCATAAAGGGGAGGAGCCCCCATTTACTCTCATGTAAAAATGAGTTTTACTACAAACACATCTCAATCCAGGAAGCAACAGAATGTATCAGTGACAAAATTATGACTGTGGAACACTGGTGTCAATCAGACATTCACCTCTGTAATCTCAGTCCTCACAGAGCTGAGAAAGGAGGACTGGGTGTTTAAAGCCAACCTAGGCTACACAGAAAGACTCACATCTAAAAATACAAAACAACCCAAGTCTTAGTATTTTTGTTTGTTTGTTTAAAGGCACATGCTTCTATTACCAAAAATATCTGATCCTAACAAGCTTGATCCTAACAAGCTATCTGTTACAGAACATAAAAGTCTTCAGTCACCTAAAAGATATCACTGCGGTGTCTTCCACCATGATTGATAAAAAAGAGAATTTAATACTTAACATGACATACAACCAGCGGATTTGTCAGTTGAGTAGTGTTAATGCTACTCAAGATGGAAACAAAATTGCCATTTTTATCTTCAAAATCAAATTGTAGTAATGAAGTCTAAGATTAAAGAAGAACGTTTTCCCATTTCCAAATCACGAGTAATATAACTGTCATTGATGAGATTTACAAGATCAGTAAACAACAAAATAGCCACTGCCTCAATGGCTGCGAATGTCAATCACCTCCCACAACCTAAAATCTCGCTTCCCAACTTAAGTGTGTAGAGGCCCTGCCAGCCTCATCTGTCTGCAGCGGGTCTCAATCCCTGCCGCTATCCACAGAATCACCTTGCAGACCCCGACCCCGCACGGCGACCTTCACAGACAAGGACTATTCGGCAACGAACGTCTAGGCTGATCGCCAAGGGGAGTCTTCCTCCTCAGAATCATTTTTTGCTCAGACCCCACCTCCCGGCACCTAGAGGCTTCCTCTCACCACCATCCCACAGCTCCAGGAAGTCTCTTGCCCCCTCCCAGCACCACCAAGCTTCCCTAAGACCCCTCCCTGCACAGCGAAGCTTTGCCTCGCCCCTTCCTCTGCCCCTCCCCGCACCGCGAGGCTTCTCCCGCTCCCACCCCTTGTCCCCTCCCTGCACCGTGAGCCTTCCCCTCACCCCAACCCCGCACCGAAAGACTCCCTCCCCGCCCCCCCGCCCCGCTCCCTCTCCACCCCCCGCCCCCTCCCCGTGTTCCAGGCAGGAGGGGCAGGCCTAGGGCTCACCTTGCGCTTGCGGGCCTCGGCCGTTCCGCTCCACACGAAGCACTGGTAGATGGCCCGCAGGTTTTGCTTCCAGTTGTCCACCTTGAAGCTGCCCAGGTGCGAGCAGCCCGGAGGCGCTACAGCCAGCTCAGCATCCATGGCCTCGACCTCAGGCTCGGGCCGGGCGACCATGGCGGGCAAGGCCCGGGCGCGCGGGGCGGGCGGCGATGGAGGCGAGGACGACGCCAGCGCGGCGAGAACAAAGCGGCGGACAAAGACCGCGCCGAAAACCGAGTCAAGCGACTGCAGCACCGACCGCTCACGCACCACTCTCCGGCTTGGAGGAGGGCGGGGCAGGGCGGGGCTGTCCACGGGAGAGGATAACGTCACCCAGGCTGGTGGCCGCAGTGCGCAGGCTCCACCGCTCTAGGCCCCGCCCCACAGCCCCGCTCGAGCCCAATGGCTCCGGCGAGATGCCTGGGGCAAAGGGGGTGGGGCCAAAGGAATCCCGCCCTCGCGTCACATGATTGGTTGTCTGCCAGTCCGAGGCACGATCGGCGGTTATCATAGGCTGGAGGGCTGCTCCGGTTTGCTTTGGAGCCGCCTCCCGGAGACGCTAGCGACGTGACGTTTCAAGTCTCCACTTGGGAGGCGGGGCGTGCTAAGGATTGATTGGGTAAAACCGAGCGTCCCTCAGGCCACTAAACCGGTTTGTACCGGCCTGAGCTCTGCCGCAAAGAGGCGGGACGCCAGACGGGGTGGGGCGGGGCCCTGGTCTGCGCTTTCTTTCGAGGCGGGTTTTCCAGGTTCTGTTTGTTGGTCACTAGAGTTTCTTTTTCAGGCGTCTCTGCAGACTGCCATCTTGGCGACTGTGTTGGGTACTGCAGTGCAACAGCAGGGGTTGGGAGCGGCGAGAACACAGACTGAGTTTCCTTCCCTAGAGTCTAATCCAGTGTTCTCCTGTTGAATGCCAGCCGGCATACGAATATTTTTTAGTGGCTACAAAGCAACAAGAAGCAAACAAAATTAATTTTTACAAGTAATCCAATAAAGACAATACCGTGTCAATGTGTGATATTGTAAAATTATTAGTGAACTAGCCTAAAAATTTTGCATTGGCTTTGAAATCTCGTGTTTTACTCATTCGGTACAGCACCTTCAATTTGTGCTAGCCACATTAGATACACTAGGTCCTATTAAGTGGGGGAGAGTACAGACCTATAATGCATTCAATTCTCCTATCTGGGGGTTACACAGATTAAGCCGTCAATCAACTCAGTCTTTCCTCCATACAAATTGTATCTACTGAATAAATACCCCCACACACACCATTATTCCTTAAAAAATTATAGCAGCTAGGTGTTACACTGGTGACAGGTACCCATGATGTGGAGCAGTGAAATAATTCACCAAGACAGAAAAAGGCTGAAGTAGACAGTTCGTTAAATGCACTGCAGTAACAGCAGCTAGCAGGCAAAACAGCAGAAAGAAATTCCCAGCAGGCATTCAGTGGAGTGCTTTTATGGTGGTGGTGGTGGTGGGGTGTCCTATAGAAATAGACAGCATTTTAATGACATGGTTCCCAGGAGCAACAGCAGCTGAGGCTCGTCTGGTTAGCAGCAGCCTGGCCTGGAAGCAACAATGGTCTTAGATACGGCTTAGCATACTGTCCATGCATTTACAACCTATGATGGATGAATTGAGATCACCCAGAGATGGGTTCAAGCACACAGAAGAGCAGGGAATGTTGGTGTATCTGTGTCAGGTTGAGGTAGGAGGATCACTTGAACACAGGAGTTTGGGGCCAGCCTAAGCAAATAGTGAGACTCATATTGAAAAGGTGGGAGGGGGGGCAACCCAGAAGTGTACATGCAGGGCATATAGGTTAGAGGCAGATATTATACCATTTTATAGTTAGCTCTTGAGCATCTGAGGGTTTCAGTGTACTAAGGGAATATTATGTGTAAACAATTTGCCCACATAGGTGGGACAAAACAGTACCTGTCATCCAGATTGTCATGATCCCTAAACTCTTAAAGCTGTGGGGTTTAATAAATGGAAAACTAGAATAAAGAATCCGTATTGTTCAGGGAGGTGGTGGTGCAATGCCTTTGATCCCAGCACTAGGGAGGAAGAGGCAGGCAGATCTCTATGAGTTTGAGGCCAGCCTGGTCTACAGAGCAAGTTCTGGGACAGCCGAAGCTACACAGAGAAACCCTGCCTCAATTTTTCCTTTCTTTTCTTTTCTTTTCTTTCCTTTCCTTTTCTTTTCTTTTCCTTTCCTTTCCTTCCCTTTCCCTTTCCCTCCCTCCCTCCCTCCCTCCCTCCCTCCCTCCCTCCCTCCCTCCCTCCCTCCCTCCCTCCCTCCCTCTCTCTCTCTCTCTCTCTCTCTCTCTCTCTCTCTTTCTTTCTTTAAAGCTGAGGACAAATAAGCAGACGCCCAGAGCCCCTACCTAAAATGCTTTGCATCAACCCAGCATCCCACAGTATATAGTCCCTAACTAACCTCCCAGGTTTCATCAGAAGCTTCCTTTAAGTGAGTCTTCCACTGCTACACTGTTGCAAATGATAACCACCTTTCCCCCCACGCCCACTTTCTGCTTTATTTTACTTGAAAGAATGTATCACTTTTATCTGATAGCATACAGTTGTTTAGTTTGCTTTTTTAGCTGAGAATGACCTAACTCGTGTACCTACACTGGAAGTGCTGAGATTACAGGTAAACATTATCTTGCCCAGTGTTTAAGGTCCTAGGGATTGAACCCAGGATTTCATGAATTCTAGGCAGGCACTCTAGCACCTGAGCCACACCCCCAGCCGTTTTTTTTCTTTTTCTTTCTTTCTTTCCTTTTTTTTTTTTTTTTTTTCTCCAAATGAAAAATTACGCTGGGTGGTGGTGGCACATTCCTTTAATCCCAGCACTCTGGAGGCAAAGGCAGGTGGATCTCTGTGAGTTCAAGGGCCAGCATGGTTTACAGAGTTATTTCCAGAACAGCCAGAGAAACCCTGTCTGGAAAAACCAAAAAAAGAAAAGGAAAAAAAAAAAAAAAAAAAAAAAAAAGAGGAAAAAAGAAAAGATGAGGATGTAATTTGTATGTTTTATTTCCTACTCTCCAATGCCTACAGGAATATTTGAGTATTCAAAATTACCTGTTGATTTATAATTTGGTCACTATTGCTGTGATGAAAAACCAAGACCAAAAGCAACTTAGGGAGGAAAGGATTTATTTCATTCACAGTTCACTTAACAGTTCATCATCAAAAGTAGTGAGTGCAGGAAATCAAGCAGGGCAGGAACCTAGAGGCAAAAGCTGATGCAGACAGAGACCATGGAGTGATGCTGCTTACTAGCTTGCTCTCGATGGCTTGCTCGGCCTGCTTCCTTATAGAACCCAGGGCCAGAATGCACCATCCACAATGGACCTTTCCCTAGCAATCACTAATAAGAAAATGCCTTACAGGCCTGACTACAGTCCTATCTTATGAACATATTTTCTCATTTGAGGTTCTCTTCTCTCTGATGACTCTAACTTGTGTCAAAGTGACATAAACCTAGCCAGTGTACTTGGTAATGGAAACCCCAAGCATGTTTATAGGAGAATCACAAAAAACAAACAAGCAAAACACATGTACATACAAAAAAACTTCACAGAATAAAACACTTCACACATTAAAGAAGAGGTATGCTAGAGAAAAGAATATTGGCCTATAAAAAAGTCAACCAGGAATTTTAGATTCTATGCAGACAATGTCTTACCTAGAACGTTTCAAGCCTTGAGTTTGATCTCCAGGACTTCAGAGAAGTTGTATGTGGTTAACTCTCATAAGTATTGTGAGTTTGGGCATGGCACTTCATTTCTATAATTCCAGCACCTGGGAGGCTGAGGCAAGAGGATCACAAGTTCAAGGCCAGCCTAGTGTAATATACATTGTAATGGCTATGAAAAATTCCATTTTGTACTAGGCACCCATTTTTACATTCCTAAAGATAAACTCCTAGCAACTGTGGCTCCTTGCCCCCTCTGTCCCCAGATTGGTAAAACTGTTATGAAATGATTAACCATTTGCTCTGGTTTCTGTGAACTCTGCTTGTGAGTGAGGTAATTCCTCACTTACCTATAAATTCCATGGGGATGAAGGAATTGGGATCTGCCTTTAAAAGCACCTCCCATCCCAAGCTGGACCTTAGATCCAAATCCAACCACAAGAACTGAGGACAGCTGCAACTTAAAATAAAAATTTGACTAATTATAATTTAAATTAAGTCTATGCTGTCTCAGTGTTGGTCATGTGCTGTTTAAGCCTGCTGCAAGTGGACTCTGACATGAAAAAGGGTCCTCCCTTGCCTCAGACTTTGTTTATGTCAAGTGTCCTCTGAACCCTAAGGCAGATCTCTGTGAGTTTGAGGCCAACCTGCTCCACATAAAGTGTTCTAGGATAGCCAGGGCTGACATACTGAGTGAGACCCTATCTCAAAACAAAAGCAAATAAACAAAACTAAAGCAAAACAAAACCTCCCCCAGTAGCAGCAGGACCATGGACCCCAACATGGCAGCAGTAGGGGCCACTCCCATCAACATGGCCTTCCAGTAGCAACATAAACACAGATATATGATCTCCTGCAGTAGCATAGAGTATGGGCATCCATCTGCCCGCCAGTAGTAGCAGCCCAGACCAGGGATATCCACATGAACCTCAGGCTTCAACAAAGCCTGGGACAGGTGAGTACAGAAGAAATCAATACGGCCTCCAGGGACCATAAGGGATCTTTTGAGAAGGTCCAATCCAGAAAATGAACTATTCTGTTGTTCAGAGCCAGGGCAATAGTTCAGCTGGGCATTGTGTTGGGGGCTGAGTCTGCCCACCCTACTGGGCAGCAACACGATCCCCCCATTAACTGCATCCTCTCACGCCTGTCACCAAAGTCAAGTCTTTAGTTCTCCCTCTTTCCACCAAACACACACCACTCCATTCCTCCATCTTTCCCATTTCTCCATCTCATATCTGTTCATCATAGTGACAGCTGCAGTGTGCCACACAGTATAGTTTTTTGTTCAAAGAGCTTTACATGCAAATATTCATTGCAATGAGAAGTTGATCTGGTTCAAGTTTTTTTGGTTTCTGACCCATCATAAATACTTGAACCATTGTTGAGAATCTTCTCCATCATCCTGCAGTTGCCCAGAGTCTGGGTGATCTTGTGCCTATACAGGGTATATGTCAGAGAGCATAATCCATTCAAGCCTGTGCTCATCCCTGCCCTCCCTCTCAGAGCTTGGAACTTGACCTTTGTGCTTGTAGCCTACAGGAAGCACCATCAACCTGTGCTCTCAGTCTCACGCAGGGCAAGCAGAGCAGGC